CAGAGGAGGCCAGGGCCCCGGGATCCAGGGGCGTCCTGCGGACTCCAACTGGGAAGCCGACTGAAGGCTGTGGCATCTCCAGGCTTCCTGGCAGCAGATGGGAGGGAGAGGGTCTGGTGTGGATCCTAGAGAAGCTGAAACACCCTGCCACCCGTCCCCCACCCCCCGCCCCTCACTGCGCTGTGTGGAGTAAGGGGGGCAGGGTTCAAGCCGATATGATCCTGCTTCTAGCTGCTGGGAGGTCCCCGAAGCCACTGTGCTGAGAATTGCCCTGGGTGAGGATGCCTGTGCTACTGAAATCTAACTTCTTTTTTTTTTTTTTTTAAATATATTTTATTGATTTTTTATAGAGAGGAAGGTAGAGGGATAGAGAGTTAGAAACATCAATGAGAGAGAAGCATCGATCAGCTGCCTACTGCACACCCCCTACTGGGGATGTGCCTGCAACCAAGGTACATGCCCTTGACCGGAATCAAACCTGGGACCCTTCAGTCCACAGGCTGACGCTCTATCCAGTGAGCCAAACTGGCTAGGGCTGAAATCTAACTTCTTAAAAAACAATGAAGTAACCCAAGAATACCACTCCTAGGTTTGGGAACAGGCCCCCAAACAAAAACTTGTTCAGAAATGCTCATAGCAGCACTATTCACAGTCGCCAAATCCATCCGTGGATCAACGGAGACACAAAATGTGGTACAGCCACACAATGCATACAACGCAGCCACAAAAGCCAAGCACTGATTCATGCTGCAACATGGAGGAGCCTGAGAACATGATGTGCATGAAAGAAGCCAGACCCCAAGGCCTCTTATTGTAGGATCCCATTCATAGGAAATGTCCAACAGTGGCAAATCCACGGAGACAGAAAAGAGATTAGTGGTTGCCAGGGCCTGGGGAATGGGGAACGGGGAGTGACTGCTTAATGGGTCCAAGGTTTGCTTTGGGTGAGATAGAAACGTTCTGGAAATAGACAGTGGTGATGGTTGCACAACATTGTGAATATGCTAAATGCCACTGAATTGCGCACCTAAAGTGGTTAATATGGTAAGTTTCATGTGTGTTTTGCCACAATAAAAAAAACAAAAACCTTAAAATTCTCATAGAAAATGTTTTGCATTTCCCCACTCTTCCTGGCAGAATTTTCAGGAACCAACTGAATTCATGAAGGGAAAGATGGGTGCATTGTTAAAGAAAAAAATATTCTGTTAAAAACTACAGGGGGCCTTGACTTACGAGTGTCCCAACTAACGAGTTTTTCGAGATACGAGCCGTCTCTCGGCCGATTTTTTGCTTTGAGTTGCGAGCTACAATTCGGGTTACGAGCCAGCTTCAGATACCCCACCGCTAGTTGGCGCAGCGAACGTCACAGTGAACACCACCACATCAGCCCAGCATCACGTGTCTCACTCGTTCACTTTTTGATTTGACATACGAGTCATTTGAGTTACGAGCTCCGTCACGGAATGAATTAAACTGTAGTACAATGACACTTGCTAATGCATGGGAAGGAGAAGGGGCCATGGGGGTAGGCATGGGCACCGCTGCCATGGGGTTTTGCTGTAGAGAGAGATTGGGCTCAACTCCAAATACAGCATGAGCAAATGGGAATCTGTAGCCTAGGAACAGGTGGGGCAGTGGATGGAAAATTACTGAGAGGGAACATCATGCATAAGAGAGGATTCTGGGTAAACGGGCCTAGCAGGCCAGAGTGATCAGACTTTACCCCGGGGATGGTGGAAGATGAGTGCTGGAGGCTAAGACCAACAAGTAGTTAGCATAATTATGTGAAATGTCCGCTGGAAGGCTAATGGACTTTGATATTCAGCAAGGGCTGAAAATCAGCATAATATTGCCCTGCTTTTGGCTGAATGGCTGAAGGCAGTCCTCTAACCTGATAATCCTTTATTGTTTACCAAACTTTACCATTGACATGCCTGTTTGCTTTGTTAAAAGGCAAATGTGTATTCTAGTAAATAAAAGCTAATGGATCTGGGCATTCAGAGGGCCTCTCCAATAGAGAGTAAGGTCTGCGCCTGGCTCCCCGTGCCTTCTAAATTTATATTTCTTGTCTAGTGTATCCGTTTGTGCGGAGCCCCTTCTCCAGACCTTGAACCTTGGCCCCAAATGGATGCGGTGTTCACAGATGAGGTACCTGATCAGATGTTGAGGGTGGGAAGTTCTCATTAACCTGACTTAGGAGGATTCTTGCTGAAATTTGGACAATGCAGAGATGAACACAGAAGTCCAAAAGTCAGAACCTAGTTAGAAAAAAGTTCAGGGGATCCTGAGTTGAGTTCGACCAATGAGAGAGTCTTTGTCAGTATATAAAAATACTAGAGGCCTGGTGTATGAAATTTGTGCACTCGGCGGGGGTGGGGGGTGTCCCCTCAGCCCAGCCTGCACCGTCCCACAGTCTGGGAGCCCCTGTGGGAGCGCACTGACCACCAGGGGGCCGCTCCAACTCCACCCCCCCATCGCCCCTCCACCACTGCTGCTCATAGCCATCCCCTCCCTCTACCTGCTGGCACCCACCTTGGCTGGCCCGGCACCTCATGCTGGCCGGCCGCCTCCCCCCCCCCCCCCCCCCCCCGCATGCCCCTAACCGGTCATTCCACCATTCAGCCGATTTGCATATTAGGCTTTTATTATATAGGATAATGATCAGGATGCTTTGAGCACCAATAGCAGAAAGCACACACCACCACCCCCCAGCCAGCCTGGCTGGGATTGAAAACAGGACACTGGTTGCCTGGTTTTCGTTCAGACGCCGTGTGTGGAGTTCAGCTCTGCCTCTCTGCTGTGTGTTGTTTTCGTCCACATATTGGCATCATCCTCAGGCTGGTGCCAAGAGAGCTCTGCATCCAGGCCTCGCAGCCAGATCTGGTCCTGGAGAAGCAGCCCACCCCACCCTGAGGGAGCTGCCCCAGCAGCCTCCCCTCAGGTCTCATTGGCCAGTGCGCCCACTGTTCAACCAATCCCTGGTCAGAAGCAGGGGACCGCCTGAGAGGCTTGGACCAATCAGGAGATGGGGAGAGAAGGGGATGAAGGCTGCGGGACAGGAGACGGAAGCCCCGAATATTAGCGGTGACTTTCTCTCTTGTTAATTGGAAGATGGATGAATTTTACCCTCTTCTTTTTGAATCTAAGTTTCTATAATAAATCTATTCTTTTTTAAAAAGTTGGAAATGGAACCAAAGTCATTCTTGGGACAGAGAGAGAAGATTCAGCAACTGAAAATCCAGAAAAAAAATGGCTTTATGCACAGCCGGGCACTGCTTACAATGGCAATAGGGCCGCGTTGGGGTCTGTGTTCAGACACCTGGACACCCGGGGCCACACCGCCCCTCCAGGTGGTTCAAAGTCGAGATTTCTCTCTCACTCCCACCTGGGGATTAGGGAAGGTGCTACGACCTCCTACTGTCTAATGTGTGTCAAGGGGACACCCCCCCCTCCCAATTTAGTGTTCCCTCTTCCTGCAACACAGAAATCTCACCTGGCACTGCCCTCCCCTCCACATAGCCTTTCTGCCCCTTAATCCTAGACCAGTGGTTCTCAACCTTCTGGCCCTTTAAATACAGTTCCTCATGTTGTGACCCAACCATCAAATTATTTTCTTTGCTACTTCATCACTGTCATGTTGCTACTGTTATGAATCGTCATGTAAATATCTGATATGCAGGATGGTCTTAGGCGACCCCTGTGAAAGGGTCGTTCGACCGCCAAAGGGGTCGCGACCCACAGGTTGAGAACCGCTGTCCTAGACAAACGCTGTTTGATAGAACTTCTACGGCAATGATGGAAATGTTTTATATCTTCTCTGTATAATGTCACAGCCTCGAGTCAAGTGGGGCTATTGAGCACCTGAAAGTGGCTGGTTTGGGGGAACTAAGTTTTATAAGGCATCGAATTTTAATAAATAAACATATATATATATATATATATATGTAGTTTTGTTGTTGTTAATTCTCACCTAAGGATATTTTTCCCATTAATTTTTAGAGAGAGTGGAAGGAAGGGAGGGAGAGGGAGAGGAAGAGAGAAACATCAATGTGAAAGAGACACATCGATTGCTAGCCTCCCACACAAACCCCAACCAGGGCCAGGATCAAATCTGCAACACAGGTTTGAGCCCTTGACAGGGAATAGAACCGGAACCCTTTGGTGTATGAGCCAATTCTCTAACCACCGAGCCACACCTTCCAGGGCTAAATTTATATTATAATAGCCATATGGTATTAGCACAACCCTGGACTCTGTCCCAACAGAGCTCAAAACTATAACTGACCCCTCCCACTTCTCCAGCCACACGCCCCCTCCCACGGGGCTGCCCTCTCCCACTGAGCCCCCAGCTTGTCCAGGATTCAGCAGCTTCTTCAAAGCACCTCGAGGGCGTGCAGCCTCGGAGCCTTTGCTCAATTGTGCTGTTTACACTCACCTCACCCCCCGCCTCCCACCCCACTCTGCCTCATCCCTTCTCCTACTCCAGATCTCAGCTGTCCCCTCCTCCAGGAAGCCCTCCCTGCCCCTCAAGCTGAGTGAAGCATCCCTTTGGGTTCTCCCAGCCCCCGAGCTCCTCCATCCCAGTGCTGATCACTCTGCATCATCCTTACCTGGTGTGCCTGTCCCCCACACACGCAGACAGGTGAGCCCCACCGTGGGCTGAGAGCAGGGCAGGAGTTGTCTAATCGTCACTGTCCCCAGCACCATCCAGCGTGGAGCTGGCATAGGGAGGTGTGTTGGGATGAATGAATGAATGAATGAATGCTTTTGAAAAACCATGCTAAGAGCTTTAGAATGAGCCAGCCCCACATCAAATCCCACCTCCCCCTTCCGGTAGGCCTGCCACCCTCCTTATCCTCCGTTTCCTCATCTCTGAAATGGGAAAAGTGACTCATGGCGGATGCCGAATGAGGCAGTAGTGTGTGTCAGGCCTGGGGAGAGGGGGCATTGCTCAACCAGAGGCCACTGTAACTGTCGTTGTAATTACTGCTGCTGCTGACAGTCAGGTTGAGTGGGAAAGAGAGTGAAGGGGCCAAGGGAGGCGTGCTGGGAAGCCCCAGCAAATTCCCCAGTCGCTGGAAACAGGTCCAACCAGTGTCTGCACATTCATCGCAGGGAGCACAGGTGGAGCTCCGGGGTTGAGGACAGGGTGCCGGCTGGCTCGGCGGCTCCCCGGGGTCCTCGCTGAGCTGGCCCCCTGCAGACCGCCCGGGGCCGCCCTCCGGCCCCCTCGGTGCCCAGCAGGTGGCATCTCCACAGGACGCCAAGATGGAGATTCCCACGGGGACCCAGTGCCACTTCTCACAGGGCCTCCTGCTCTCAGGTAAGGAGGAAATGCCCCCCAACGCCCAGGCCAGGCGAGCAGGTGAGCCTCAGCCCCGGGGTGGGGTTTCCCCTTGGAAGAAGGAAATCTGTCAGGGAAGATAAAAGTATTCGAGAAGGAAGAAAAGGGGAGGAGCAGAGTCACAGCCCCGTCACCACTTTATCTACGGAATTTTCTAGAATATTAGGACCACGAGGGCAGGAGTGTATCTGTGTATCCAGTTCCCTGCTGCATCCCCAGCGCCTAGATATCGAGGGAATTTTAGACATAGCCTGTATAATTGGCATTTTAACATAAATAATATATGTGCTTATAAGTATTGGTTATCAGTGATGGCGAACCTAATTTTTTTTGGTTGATTTTTCTTTGTTAAATGGCATTTAAATATATAAAATAAATATCAAAAATAGAAGTCTTTGTTTTACTATGGTTGCAAATATCAAAAAATTTCTATATGTGACACGGCACCAGAGTTAAGTTAGGGTTTTTCAAAATGCTGACACGCCGAGCTCAAAAGGTTCGCCATCGCTGGGTTAGACCAAGCATGTCAAACTCAGGCTCACACGGGCCAAATAAACAAGGTTTAAGTGTATGTGGGCCACAAAAAAAACAAAAGCTTCAATTTTCATAGAAATGTAGGTTAATTTCAATAGAGACATGATGAATACAAAGGGCTGAAATAAATGAGTCATCGTTAACATAAAAGAATAGAACATTTTAATAAAAATTAATATTTTATTTTGAACATTTTAATAAAATAATATTTTATTTTATTAACTTACCAGACACTGAGTAACTGCACTAATTAATAAGTGTAACACAATAAACCTATTTCTCTTGTTCTCCAAGAGCAAAATATTTCCTCTTGCGCACACCAAACCAGTCCAAGACTAATGACGTGGAAATCGGCTGCTAAAATATTCGCTGCTAGTATTAGTGGAGAGAAATGGTGCGCCTGTGGATAAGGGAAATGAATGCAACATGATTGTAGTAATCAGTCATTAGCGAACGTTGTAGTTCATTATTAATAACTAGTGGCCCAGTGCACGAATTCATGCACATTGAAAGGAAATTAATTAGAAGAAATATTTTAATATTGCTATTCGCCCTTTCTCTATAATAGAAGTGTCAACCAAATTCACGATCGACAATGACATTGAAACACACGCATGCGATTGGCGTCAGTGAGAGCTTTATATGTATCACACATATGCAAGTCAACTTAGCCTTTTATAGATATAGAATAAACTTGCTTAATTAGACCTGCTTTCTGATGTAGCTAAACTTTTTCCAGCCCAGTGAAGCACCCCAACTACTCTTTCAGGTAATTGTCAGCAACACAGCAGCAAATATCAACAGGAAGCAGGTTATTATTGTAGATCACGCAGGGAGAACAAAGGGTGAAATATTTAACTGTAGCAGAGTTTGACTATATTCTGCGCAGTGAGAAAACCTGAAGTCATTTTCAAGGTCCACCATTTCTTACTTATTTTCAGTCGGGTCAAGTTTCTAAGCTTTCTAAATCTCTGTTTTCTGGCTAATGAAAAGAAAATAGGATTCCACTGAGTCTCCTATTTACCTACTCCAGGACTTCTGTGGGGATCAAATGAGATGAGGCACAGGAAAACGCTTCACAGACATTTGGTTACAGTGTGAAATGTTTCCACCTGTGTTCCTGGGTGGACGAAATCGCAAGGGGGCTAGTCATCACTAGGGAGAGGAAGCTGGGCATTGCTACGTGATGGCATTACCCGGCACCCACAGCGACCCATTCAGGGCTGGGCTGGGCTGTGGGCTGCATTTTGCACCATTTCGGCAGCATCGGCTGTGATTTGGTGGGCTGTCACCCCAGGGTGGTGGTGGGGCCTGTGTCCCACTTGGGGGAAGCCAAGTGTTGCTTTGTGGGTGCCAGGTCCACGGGGCCATTTCTCTGTGCGCATCACAGCAGCTCCTGCATTCTGCCCCCTGGTGGTCAGTGCACATCATAGCAACCAGTCAGAAGGTGGGAAGGACACTTAGCATATTAGCCTTTTATGTAGCTAGATGATGTATAACAGGATATTGTAAAAATTAAGTTACAAAATTTTTATTAAAACATTTCTTACATACAGTTATATTGGCTGGGCTGCAAAAATATCAATTGCAGGCCACGAGTTTGACATGCTTGGGTTAGATGAATGAAGTAATGAATTCAGAGATTCCCAGGGCTTAGAAGCAGGCCACACAGCATCTCAGGGCAGAAAACCTTCTGGACCAATGTAATGGCAAATCTGTGGCATCCATACCCAGGTTTCCACTCCTGAACCCAGGGCAGACATTACTAATCAATTCCAGCACTGTCCCCAAAGAATAGCACTCAGAGAGAGCTCTTACCCTCCAATGAGGACTTACAGTGCAGAGAATGCTATGGTCCCTGCCCAACACACCTCTGATCTCAGGCCTCCCTGAAACTCCCCACAGCCTCAGTCCTGGCCCTCTGGGTCCCCCAAGGCTCCTGGGCGGCCCTCCGCATCCAGAAGATTCCAGAGCAACCTCAAAAGAACCAGGACGTGCTCCTGTCTGTCCAGGGCATCCCAGACACCTTCCAAGACTTCATCTGGTACCGGGGGAAGGAGACAGATGGTGGCACGAGGCTGTTCACCTACATCCCTGACATACAGCGGCCCCAGAGAGACGGCATCGCCATGGAGCAACGAGACATCGTTGGCTTCCCCAATGGCTCCATGCTGCTGCGTGACGCCCAGCCCAGAGACAGCGGCACCTACCACGTGGAGGTCCACATCAACCCTTCGTCGACCATGCGGGCCAAGACTGAAGTCCAGGTGCTCGGTGAGTGTTGGGTGCTGGGGGAGGAAGTGGGAAGCCTCATGCACCCTGAGCAGCTACTGCTGGGGTCCAACCCCAGCAGGTCCAGGGGTCCCCTAAGGTGTGGATGGAGTCGGCGAAGAAGGAATGACACGGAGACAGCGTTCAGTTGATCAGCAGCCTAGCCAGGATCTCTAGCCAAGTTCTGGTCATGATCTCCAGCGAAGTTCTGGTTAGGATCTCCAGCCAGGTTCTGTGTCCATGTTCTCTTGCTAGGTTCTCCAGCCAGGTTCAGTAGCCATGTTCCCTCGCTAGGTTCTGTCCAGGTTCTCCAGCCAGGTTCTGTAGCAATGTTCTGTCACTAGGTTCTCCAGCCAGGTTCGGTCGCCAGGTTCTAGTCAGGTTCTCTAGCCATGTTCTATCCAGGTTCTGTAGCCAGGTTCTGTCTCCTTGGTAGCCTATGCCCCCGTGGCCTCCACGCCCAGCAACTGCCTTGGGATCCCCTCGCCTGCTGGGGGGGGCCCGGCATTGATCACATATCTTGGGGAACCCAGGTTTCTTCTCCAGGTTCTCCAGCCAGGTTCTGTCTCTAGGTTCTTCAGCCAGGTTCTCTTGCTAGGTTCTGTCCCTAGGTTCTGTGGCCAGTTTCTGTTTCTAGGTTCTGTGTCTAGGTTCTGTCTCTTGTTGTCTTGTTACATCTGTATTTATACCAGTTGATTCCAATCCTATCAATCTCTATTCCAAAGGTTAGGGCGTTTCTTATTTCCATTCCAGGGAGTAAAGATTATGTAGCTTAAGCATGATTGTTCATAGTTAAAGTGATTAATTACCCGCCTGGCACTTAGTTAAGGGGTTTTATTCCCTCCCTAACTTCAGGGGAAAATCCCTACCTGGGGAAACAACCTTTCTCAGAGAGGTGACCTTGGTTAAAACACATAGTGCCAAGAAGGTGAGCAAACATATTAATAACAGTGTGCCTTATATGCCAGGTCCCTTGAAACAGCAAGGATGGACCGGCTCCCAGCAAGCTACCACATTCTGGGCCCGGTGCAAACACTTCCTCTATTTCACACACATTGATTGAGCAATTCCTGTGTGCCAGGCTCCAAAGATATTTACTCCCCGCATGCATTAGCTAATAAAATATCTATTGAATGACAAACACAGAGACAGACCTGGCGAGTGGACCATCTCACTTACTCCTCACGTGCACTCATTAATGAAACACTTATTGAGCACCTAGTGTATGCCTGGTCCAGAGGGATACACTATATCACTCAGGTCTTCATGTTCATACATCAAGTGTTTTTTGATTAATCCACTCTGGACCAAACACAGGAGACAGGGTAGTGGACAACAGCAACGGCTACCATTTCTTGGACACTTGTTATGGGCCAGGGACTGTTGTAAACATGCCCTAGGGCAGGGGTGGGGAATGGCTGGCCCGAGGGCTGTATAAGACCCGCAAAATCATTTGGTCTGGCCCTGCCAAGGCACTAGGGGTGAGTTAATTAAGTGATTGACAAAATACAGCAGGCTATTTTTTTAATGCATGGATCTTTTTATTAAATATATTTTTATTGATTTCAGAGAGGCGATGAGAGAGAGAGAGAAGCATCAATGATGAGAGAGAATCATTGATCGGCTGCCTTCTACACACCCCTTACTGGTAGTCGAACCCAAAACCCAGGCATGTGCCCTGACTGGGAATCGAACTGTGACCAGCTGGTTCATAGGTCAACGCTCAACCACTGAGCCATGACGGCTGGGCGCTAATTTTTCAGTTGATGATTTCGTATGGCCGCAGATGATGTTATAAATATCCAAATGGCCTTTGGAAGAAAAACGGTCCCCCACGCTTGCCCTAGAGCATAGCTTCTCAGCCAGGGCACTGTTGACATTTTGAACTGGTTAATTCTTTTTTTCTTTTTTTAATATATTTTATTGATTTTTTACAGAGAGGAAGGGAGAGAGAGAGAGAGTTAGAAACATCGATGAGAGAGAAACATCGATCAGCTGCCTCCTGCACATCTCCCATTGGGGATGTGCCCGCAACCCAGGTACATGCCCTTGACCAGAATCGAACCTGGGACCCTTCAGTCCGCAGGCTGACACTCTATCCACTGAGCCAAACCAGTTTCGGCTGGTTAATTCTTTATAGCAGGGGCTGTCCTGTGCCCTGTGGGCCACTGAGCACCATCGCTGTCCTCTACCCACCAGATGCCAGGAGCCCCCCTGCCAGTCATGACAACCAAAAATGTCTCCAGACGTTGCCAGATGTCCCCCAGGGGCAAAGTCACCCCCGTTGAGAACCACTGCCCTAGAGTAACTCACTTTTACCTGTAAAAAACTCCATGATATGTTATAGTCGCCCTCGCCTGTTTGGTTCAGTGGATAGAGCGTCGGCCTGCAGACTGAAGGGTCCTGGGTTCGATTCCGGACAAAGGCAATGCCTGGGTTGTGGGCTCCATCCCCATGGGACATGCAGGAGGCAGCCGATTAATGATTCTCTCTCATCATTGATATTTCTCTCTCTCTCTTCCTCTCCCTTCCTCTCTGAAATCAATAAAAATATATATTTTTAAAATGTTATATGTCAATTATATTTCAAAGAAGCTGGTGGGGGGTGGCCCATAATAACCCGACTCAATCACTCATCATCTACGTCCCCAAAGTTATCTTTGCGAACTTCATAATGAATTCTAATTTATCAGTTCACATATTGGGTCTCACTAGGAGAGTAAGCCTTCAAAATGAGAGAAATAGAACGTACTCATCCTTTTATCATCCAACATCTACTGCCATGTGTAGAACATAATAGGTTCTCAGTTAATGTTTGTTGACTAAATAAATAAATGAATGAAAACTTTAATTAAAAAAAAAAAAACTCCCACGAGGCAGGTGCCATCATGGTCTCCATTTTACGGTTGGGGAACTGAGGTACAGAGAGGTTACGATTGCTCAGTAAAAAAAATTAAACAGAATGATGCGATCTGGGATGGGAGGTTATCGGGGAGGCCTCCCTGGAGACGGGACATGGAGCAGAGACGACAAGAAGGCCAGGGAGGCAGGAAGCCGGGCAGGTTTCTGGGGACAAGGTTCCTGGCAGAGGGAACAGCAAGTGCAAAGGCCCAGAGGCCAGGCTAGTTTGGTGTGTTCGACACTTAGACCGCACAACGCCATGGCTACAGGGCGGTGAGCAGGCGGGGTGTTCATAGCCGAGTCTGAGAGGCGCACGGGGAGCAGGCTTGTCGGCCGTGGGGAGACTGACAAGAAGCCAGACCGGGTTTAAAACAGACAGTGATCTGAGTCACAGTGTAGCCCATCCGTGGGGCCAGTGCGGGTTGGGTTTCTGTTTTATCCAGGAGGAGCCTGAGCCAACGGGAGACCAGCGTGCCTGAGGCAGGACAGCAAGGAGGGCCTCCGCAGGATGTATGTGCGCCGAGGCTGAGGCTGTGAGGACAGTGGGGCGCACAGTGGGGCGATCTTGTCAAGCCCGGGAGGTAGCCCCTGGGATGTGAGAGCCAGGAGGCCTGGGTCCACAGCTGTGTCCCTGGAGCCTAGAGCAGGGCAGGACTCACTGTTGAATGAATGGGTGGGGCCCACAGGGTCTGGCGGGAAATGAGCTGTCAGGAAGGCAGGTGCTCCCTCCTCCTCCAGGGGGCGCCATCGCTGGTCTCGTCTCTGCTCGGGGCTCCATTCTCCCCTCCGGGTCCTGGGATTCCCATCGCGACACTAAATAGTGCGGGAGCCCAGGCCTCTCTGCATATTCTCCATCTCCTCTCCCAGGATGCGGAGATAAAGAGAAAAGGAGCTGGACAGACAGGCAGACAGACAGACGGAGAGAGCCTGGCTGGCCCACCTGGCCTGTGATTGGCTTCCCCTTGAGTTGAGAGTCCACCCCTGGTCCAAGGGGGTGGGACCAAGTAGAGCAAACAGGATGGGGAGCTGGGGATCAGGGCTGGGAAGATGAGCCAGAACTCAGCACCTATAATTGTCATAATATGTATTTATTGTCGCTTCCTTCACCATTAATCCCCGGGTGCCTAGAGCTGTGCTGAGCACACACCAGGCACTGAGGAAATCATCGCAATGCCATCTCCCATCTAAGAGGCACGTACCCCATACCACGCACCTCCAGCTCAGAACTTTGCTGGCCTCAACTCATTTCATTCCCACACAAACCCTGTTGGGGAAGCCCTGGGGTGGTCCCCATTTTACAGAGGGGCAAACTGAGGCCCAGGGAGGGCCCAAGACCACACCACTGGGAGGAGGGGAGCCAAGGCTCCAGCTGGGTCCCAGTCCATCCCCTGGTGCCTCTGCCACCTGGCTCTTTCTCTATCACAGGGACTCCAGGAAGCACTGAGGGGTCCCGTGGAGAGAGGGGTCCTATGGAGAGAGGGGTCCCGGGGAGAACAGGAAGTAACAGGGCCTGGCAGGACCTGCCTTGACTGAGCATAGGGGGTGGGGAAGCAGAGGGGTGCAGCTCAATGGAAAAGGAAGAACAAAGCAAAAGGCAGAGGCTGAATTCATGGGAATTAGGGACAGAGCTGGGACAGTCACCTTGATAACCGGGGCATTTATTTTTGAGGGCCGTTGTGGCCCCAAGTTCAGCCCTCCATGGTGGGGGATGGAGAGGGCAGGGTGCACTCCCTGCATTCCGGGTAACTCGCAGGCTTTATCTCTCCTAATCATGCAGGGATTGGGCTCTAAGGGAAGCCCCCGCAGCGGGCCTGTGCAGAAAGGGGCTTAATATGCCCTAGCCGGTTTGGCTTAGTGGATAGAGCGTCGGCCTGCGGACCAAAGGGTCCCGGGTTCTACTCTGGTCAAAGGCATGTACCTTGGTTGCAGGCTTCTCCCTAGTCTGGGCCCTGGTTGGGGCTTGTGCAACCAATCGATGCATTTCTCTGTGTTTCCCTCTCTCTTCTACTCTTCCTAAATATCAATGGAAGAATATCCTTGGATGAAGGTTGACTAAAATAAAGAAAGAACAAAAGAACAAAAGCACGGAAGGAAGGAAGGAAGGAAGGAAGGAAGGAAGGAAGGAAGGAAGGAAGGAAGAAAGAAAGAAAGAAAGAAAGAAAGAAAGAAAGAAAGAAAGAAAGAAAGAAAGAAAGAAAGAAAGGGGCTTAATAGAGTCCTGGGTGCTCACGGGGCCTCCAGGCTGGGAACCAGGAACCAGAAATTCCTCAGCAAAACTGCGCCTGCCTGCCTGCCTGCCTGCCTGCCTGCCTGCAGGGCACTGGAAAGCTGCATTCATTCGTTCGTTCGTTCATTCATTCATTCATTCATTCAACAAACATCCCATTGCCCACCTGCTGTGTGAGAGGCACCGAGTTCATGGAAGGAACAGGACGGAGATCTCTGCCCTGGTGGCGTTTATACGTCCGTGGGCATGTCCACCTCGTCCTCCCCATCAAAGGCCTGGTCCGGGGCCCTGCCGAGGTCTCTAGCTTCTGGAGCCTAGTCTCACGTGGGTGCATCAGAGCCTGGGTCACATGACCGTGGGAGGTTGAACAGGAAGCTAAGAAGGGGAGTCTCTAGAAGGAGTCGAGGGGAAGGATTCGCAGGCCCAGGGCGGCCTGAAAACACAGTGTGGCCGCGGGTCCTGAGGCAGAGAGAGCACGTGGAGAGTCAGTGTTCCAAAAGGCCAAGGCAGGAATGGGGGCCTCTCCTGACCTCGCCTTGGAAGTCACACCGTGCCACCTGAGGACATGTTTATTGATTTTAGAGAAAGAGGTGGGGGGAGAGAGAGAGAAGCATCAATGGGTTGCCTACTATACACACCCCAGCTGGGGACCGAACCCACAACCTAGGTATGTGCCCTGACCAGGAATTGGAGCCGCAACCTTTTTGGGGAGCGGGGAGAGGAGTACAGGACGACACTCCAACCAACCAAGCCAGCCAGCCGGCCAGGGCTCCCCTGCATTCATCCTTTGGATTACAAGGGAGTCACCGAGATTGGCCCCGATTCCAGGCCGGGGTGTCAGCGCCTCCCGCTGGAGAGAAGAGCAAGGCCGGATCACAGAAGCGCATCCCGTCCCAATCAACTTTGGAAAATACAGTGATGCACAGGCTCCCTGTCTGCTTGCTCACTGTCTATAATAAACGGCAGAAAATGCAGCGAGTTCTAAAAAGAGGACGCTTCATCGTGCGAACCGGGCAGGGTTTTTGCTGCAGCGGCGGAAACTGCTTCAGGCTGATGGAAGCAGCAAAGGGACCGATGGAGAATCCAGAGCAGCTCAAGGGCCCTGCAGGTGCCGGCAGCCAGGCGGGCGGTGTTGTGTATGGAATTAGGTCCCATAATTCCATCAGGAAGATACGCTGTCCCAACCCGCAGTCCTCAGAATGGGGCCCTCTTTGGAAATAGGGTCTCACAGAGGTGCCCAAGTGATATGAGGTCAGTAGGGTGGGCTCCGACCCAGTAGGACCCATGTCCTTATAACGTGGGCAATTGTGGACACAGAAATCTGGATGTGAAATTGCCCGGGGTTTCTATGTCAGAAGCAATGTCGCGTTTTGTTTGCTCAACACGGTGCTTTAAGGCATAAGCTGTTCACACAGGAGGCTGGAAAAATGTCTTTATTGGTGGCAAGCTTCTGCCCAGCGAAAACTCAAGGTTCTCTTTCCAAGGAAGGAGGGGACATGGGTAATGCCTTCCTGGTGGCAAAATGACCCGTGTTCACAGGCCTCACAACTCCAGGACTTTGGGAAGAAGGGATGTCCTGTTCCCAGACTCCAACCACAGCCCTTCCCCTCACTCTGGCTGGCTCCGCCGCCTGAACCAATCACTTAGGCCGAGTCAATGAAGGGTTCTGATGGGCTTCCATCTGGATTGCTGCCCATCCTGATCCAACCAACTGTGACAAGGGGTGGGTCTATACTGATTGGAATATGTTAATGAGGCCCGAGGCAGAACTGGGATTGGGGTCAATCCCTCTGAAAAAGCCCATTTTTCCCAAAGTTGATTGCAGCGATAGGCTCTTCTGTGATATGACCTTGCTACTCGCCTGTCCACAACGGTGGCATGATAGAGGTGTTGGGGAGACACCCACATGCCTATTCTCCCAACATGAAGACACTAATTGTGCCCTAGCCAGTTTGGCTCAGTGGATATAGCGTCGGCCTGCGGACTAAAGGGTCCCAGGTTCGATCCCAGCCAGGGGCACATGCCCGGGTTGCAGGCTCAATACCCCCCCAGTGAGGGACGTGCAGGAGGCAGCCAATCAATGATTTTCTCTCATCATTGATGTTTCTATCTCTCTCTCTCTCCCTTCCTCCCTGAAATCAATAAAAATATATATATTTTTAAAAGACACTAATTGCATAACTAAGTGAGTAAGCTAGGAAGAGAAGGTATCAGGAGTCTCCTTGGCCTGGGTTATCCGACAAAGCTTCCAGAAGAGCTGCGAATGGGAAAATGAGGAGGGGTCACAGCACGTGGGGAAGAGCATGCCAGGCAGAGGGAACAGCATGGCAAGGGCTGGACAACCAAGACAGTGAGGAAGGGAGTCGGGGGTGATGAGAGTGGGTCGGTGGACTGGGCAGCAGGTGGCAGAGCAAGCAGGTCCTGGCCGGGGGGGCTCTGGATATTGTGGGAAGATTGGGCAATTCGTGAGGGGGCGGGAGGACAGGCGCTGGGAGGTTCCCTGAGTCAGAACACAGCCTCAGCCTTGCCCCACCTCCTGAGTCACTCAGGGAAGCCACTGAATTTTACCTGCTGTTGTGGGGATTGGATAAGCTAGAAGGTGCAAAACTTGCTGGTGCAGTTTCTGGAAAAGGGACAGCTTTCTATCCGGCTTTCTATCCTCTGCCCAAAGTGACCCCCTGGGCCTTGGTTTGTACATCCACAAAATGGGTCTAACTTAGCCAATTCCCTGGGAATGGAGACTACTACTTTTTTTAAAAAAAATATATTTTATTGATTTTTTACAGAGAGAAAGGGAGAGAGATAGAGAGTTAGAAACATCGATGAGAGAGAAACATCGATCAGCTGCCTCCTGCACATCTCCCACTGGGGATGTGCCCGCAACCCAGGTACATGCCCCTGACCGGAATCGAACCTGGGACCCCTCAGTCCGCAGGCCGACGCTCTATCCACTGAGCCAAACTGGTTTCGGCGGAGACTACTACTGAATATGCCCAGATACCAGACAAGTCTGGACACAGGCTATCCCCTTCCCCCCAGTGACAAGACTAAAGTTTAAAATGGGTTTTGAGCCCTGGCTAGTTTGGCTCAGTGGATAGAGTGTCGGCCTGTGAACTGAAAGGTCCCACGTTCAATTCTGGTCAAGGGCACATGCCCGGGTGGGGGACTTTCGGGAGGCAGCTGATCCATGATTCTCTCTCCTCATGGATGTTTCTATCTCTCTCCCTCTTTCTTCCTCTATGAAATCAATAAAAATATATTTTAAAAAATAGAATGTATTTTGAGCATTGTGAACAAATAAACTTTTAGGGAGATGGATGAAATAGGCAAACATTTATTAATTTGAATATGTATGTATGTATGTATGTGTGTGTATACACACACACACACACACACACACACACTAGAGGCCTGGGTGCACAAAATTCGTGCACCAGTAAGGCCCCTAGGTCTGACCGGAAATCAGGGCGGATCTGTGGGGCAACTGTCGGGGCGATCAGGGGACCCCTGCTGGCAACTGCCTTGGCCGGCCTGGCGCTGCCCACTCGCCAGCCCCACCCCACCCCCACCAGTCACCTCCCTCTATGGGGTGACAGGCAGGGCGATCAAGGGGCCCCCACTGGCACCTGCCTTGGCTGGCCTGGGGCCTGCAAGCTGGGGGCAGCTCCTACATTGAGTGTCTGCCTCTTGGTGGTCAGTGCGTGTCATAGAGACCGATTGTTCTTCCGTTCGGTCGATTTGCATATTAGGCTTTTATTATATAGGAGATATATATGTGTGTGTGTTTATGTGTATGTATATGGAGAGAGAAAGAGGCTCTAGTCCAGTGGTCAGCAAACTGCGGCTCTCGAGCCACATGCGGCTCTTTGGCCCCTGGAGTGTGGCTCTTCCACTAAATACCACGTGCGGGCGTGCATTGAAACTTCATGGCCCATGCGCAAAAGTTGGTATTTTGTGGAAGAGCCACACTCCAGGGGCCAAAGAGCCGCGTGTGGCTCTGGAGCCACAGTTTGCTGACCACTGCTCTCGTCCATTTGGAAATAACAGTCTTTACCTGTTCTGAGCCTGAAATAGCTCATTCCCACCATTCAAGCGCTCTCAGGACTCAGTCATCTTTTAGAAGCCACACAGAGCGGCTATTAGTTCCAGTGGCCCAGGTGTGATCACTTACTGTGAGCCCTCAGGGAGGTCAGTTCACCTCTCTGTGCCTCATCTGTACAATGGCATAGACTCTACTTTGTTGGAGAATTGAGAGAAGTGTGTGTGTGTGTGTGTGTGTGTGTGTGTGTGTGAGAGAGAGAGAGAGAGAGAGAGAGAGAGAGAAACCTCATTCAATCTTCACAACAACCCTATAAGGTAGGTATTCTTATTATCCCCATTTCTCAGATGGGAAAACTGAGGCTCAAAAAGGTTGAGCAATCTGCCCACGTTCAACATAGCAAGTAGGAGGCAGGGACTAGAACCCAGTGTTCTGATCTCATAATCTATGAACTCAGCTGCCAACAAGGGTTGGGACATAAGCGTCCAACTTGAGATTACAGGCTGGGGGTCCTCAGGGTGGGGGTTGGAGGTCAGGTAGGCTTTTCCCCAAATCTGGCATGCTGAGGTCAAGAACCCTTCAAGCTGAGTGCCCGGTAGTCCCCCAAAGAGAGAAACATCGATGTGAGAGACAAACACCAATCGGTTGCCTTCCATCCGTGCCCTGACGGGGAATCGAACCCACAACCTTTCGGAGCCACTCCGGCCGGGTGACGCGTTGGGTTTTATGTGCAGTGGAACCAACTCAGGTCTGAAAAGCGGGAGAGAGCTCTGGGGCGGGAAGTGGCAGTGACACATCAGTGCTCTATGACCTCTCTCATTCTCCTCAGAAAAGTTTACGGAGCTGCCCGTTGCACACCTGCCCGTGAGCACTGGGATCGTGGCTGCCATCCTCATCGGGTCTCTTGCCGCCGCGTCCCTCCTAGTCGGCAGCATTGCCTACCTCCTGGTGACGAGAGGCTGGAGGGGCCAGAGGCACAGGTACGGGGGCCCCAGGCCACGCTGCGTCCCTTCTGTCTCCTCCCCAGCCCCCGCTCAACCCCTCCCATTCATTGATTCTTCCACAGGCCACATCATCTGGCTCATTCGCAATCTCATCCAATCTTGGGACTCCTGAGGAGACAGAATCTTTCTGTCCTGTCTTAGACAGGATTCTGCTTTGCCAGGGACTAAAACCGGCCGCTCAAACTGGCTTACAGAGAATTAGAAAGTGTTTTGGTGCTGCATGAGCTTCAGGTGTGGCTGGATCCAGGGACTCAATTTTGTCAGGAAACTCCTCCATGCATCTCTCACCTCTGCTTCCCTCTATGGTGCTTTATTCCCAGGCAGGCTCTTACCTTGCCGCGTGACAAAAAGCCCCTGGTGGCTCCAGGTTTAGACGCCACCAGCTCCCCTGCTGCAGGGGAAGGACCGTACCTTGTTCCTGGCAGTTCCAACGAGCCAGAGGGCTGCCTTCAATCACAGGTCCTTGCACGGGCCAGGCACTGCGGCCGGGCGCTGGGACGCTCCAATTGGCCGAACGCGGGCTCTTCGCGCAGCCCTGGAGCTGGAAATAGACCCAGCTTCACACGATCAAACGGACTGCGAGTGGGGAGGGGTTCCCCAAAGGAGAGCCAGAAGCTGTGGCCAAAGAAGTGCGGTGGGTGGTGGGCAGGCAAGGCCACCAGATGTTGCCTACCTCTGCATGGATGGGGCGGAGGGGGGGGGGGGTTGGGAGGGGGGGGGGCGGGGCGGGGCAGTCTTCTCTCTCCTGCAGCTCTTCCTTATGTGCTGTGCTTTCTTAACCTTCATCATTTTACTTGTCTTTCTCCTGATACGTTCTATGTAGGGGTGAGAAGGAGCTGTAAAATATAATATAAGCTGCCCTAGCTGGTTTGGCTCAGTGGATAGAGTGTCGGCCTGCGGACTAACGGGTCCCAGATTCGATTTTGGCCAAGGGCACATGCCTGGCCCTTGGGTGACATGGTGGGTGGTTGCGGGCTCGATTCCCTTCCCCACCAGTAGGGGGCGTGCAGGAGGCAGCCAATCAATGATTCTCTCTCATCCTTGATGTTTCTCTCTCTCTCTCTCCCTTCCTCTCTGAAGTCAATTAAAAAAATGTTTTTTTAAAATAATAAAATAAATAATAACAATAATATAAGCAGAACCACCTTAAAATGTAGCCAGAGCAACAAACAAAATAGAAACAGGTTCACAGATACAGAGGACAGACTGACAGCCGTCAGAGGGCAGCGGGGAGGGCGCTGGGTGAAAAAGGCGCCTTGAACATTTCCTCCCTCAAAGCTTTGGATGTGAAAAGCGCCAGGTGACCTCTGGGCTGGGATTAAAGCCGCATCGTGTCCAAAGTACTGTTTGCAAAATAGCAAGGAGGCAGTATGATAACGATGACTACGGGCTGATGGCGACCTCTAGGCTGGCCACCTAACGCAGTTTTTAGAATGAAAATCACTGTGCTCCCGTCTCTGCACCCACAGAAATGCCCCCTTCTATGGATGTCGTTGTATCCCTGCCCTTTCTCAAGATCCGCCTCCTAATCGGGGCGCGATGTGGACTTCTGCCTGAGCCAGTTGTTTCCTGAGTCGCTCTTCTTTTTTTATCTCAGATAAAAGCTCGTCGCCTGGCAATTTGGCCTCAGATAAAAGCTTGCTGCCTCTCGGTTCGGCCTTTTATTTTTAGGTGAACACAGCCCAGGGGGCCTGGCCCCGGGCGGGTCTGCCTAGGCCAGTGGTTCTCAACCTTGGCTGCAATTAGAATCACCTGGGAATCTTTTTAAAATCCTGATTTCTGGGCCTCGTCCTCCGGAAATTCTGTTTCTTTGCTATGGGGTGGGGCCACAACATTAGTAACAAAAAAACAGAATTTCCGGAGGATGAGGCCCAGAAATCAGGATTTTCAAAAGATTCCCAGGTGATTCTAATTGCAGCCAAGGTTGAGAACCACTGGCCTAGGGCCACCCAGAGTGTGTGGGGGCTTGACTCCCTGCAGAAGTTTCACAGCACGAGTCCGGGTGAATTTTATTTTTTAAACTTGAAAAACATTTATTTACGTGGCCACATCACCCATCATTGAAATGAGTAGCTAAACCTTCTGTCTCCTCGGGAAAACGCAGCACTGTGGATGTCGATTGCATCCTGTGGAGAACTTCGATCTTAGATCCCAGGCGAAGAGCTCCTGGTTTTGGTCCCATGAGCTCTCTTTGAAACGACCTCTCAGGAGAATTTAGAGAATGTTTATTAACGTGGGGGGCAGTGGCTCGAGAAAGGGCTGGGGAGTGAGCCTGCTGGGCTGCTGGGGGCCTTGGGACAGGTTCAGGGGGGTGTCTGGGATGAGCTGCTGCAGCCCATTGCTGCCCTAGTTGCAAGCCCCATGGGGTCCCTTAGAGTTGAGGGGATGCAGGCCTGTGGGGGAAGAAGCAGGCGGCACCGGCATGCTCCTGGGATGGAGACTGTGCTGGGTCCTTTGTCTTGAGGCTTTTATTTCTCTCTGGCAGCAGGAATTTCAGGGGAGTCTCGGGGAGGTTTCAGCAGACTATTCATCACTTTTCCAGGTCTGCTCCTCCAGGGGCCTGGTCTCCACGGACTGGGCAGTGTCAGGGCAGGGGCAGTCCGTCATGTCAGCTGGTCCTGGTGTGGCCCACCTGGTTTTGCTGCTTTTCTGGGTCTGGAGCTGAAATACAGCTGAGGCCGAGATGTTATCTGTAGGGGGGTGGCCTGTATCTGCTGTAAATTGCTGTCAGTTTGCTCAGCCATCTGTCTCCCTGAGCAGGGGATTTAAGCTACCCTCTGTTGGGGAGGAGCAGTGCAAGCCATTTACCCCTCTTAATTGCGGACCAGTAGTTTTATTGCCAGCTTTACCCACTGGCCACGTAAGTTTCAATAAAATAGATAGATGATTGATAGATAGATAGATAGATAGATAGATAGATAGATTTTTTAAACAGTCAGCTGGGGTCCCTCAAAGTCAAGGCCATAATCTTCACTCACCGTGGACATAAGACCTGATCAATCTCCAACCCCCACCTCATCTCCCTGAACTCCCCTCTTCCCACACTCACAGTCCCTCCTCCCAGCCACACTCCTCTCCTTGCTGTTCCTTTGCTGTTTCCGCTCCTGCCTCCGGGCCTCTGTACAGACTGTTCCCTCTGCCTGGAACTCTCTGCCCATGATTTCTGCACAGCTGGTCCCCTTGGTTGGTCCAGGCCTTTGCTCAAGTGCTACCTCCTCAGGGAGGCTCCCAAACACCCTATGGAAACTACGCGTGCACCCCCTCCACCCTCTGCTCCCTTCCATCTGCATTTTCCTTCATAATACTTTTCTCTCTACTGCTGATTGTTTATTCGAATTCTCTATCATCTGTCTATCAATCATCTGATCAATGCTATCTCTATCTCTCTCTCCCCGCTAGTGTGTCCACTCTAGGGGTCTTTGTTGGCCTGTGTCCCCAGTGCCTTCAACAGTACTCAGCTCATGGGTGGTGGCCCATAAATACTTATTCAGCGGATTTACAAATTTGTGGTAGTGAGGCCAAGTGTACTTTTTAAATAAGAGTATTCAAATGAGCCCATTTAAAAAGAAATTTTGTTTACAAATGCAAGGGAAAGTTTATTTAGAAAGTCACAGAGGTAGAAAGAGTGAGCCAGCTGGGCTGCGTGGGCTCAGGAAACAAATTACAGAGGCCAAAGAAGGGCCCTTGGAGCTTAGGGGAGGGAGGGAGGGAGAGAGAGAGAGAGAGAGAGAGAGAGAGAGAGAGAGAGAGAGAGAGCCTAAAGAGACATATTAAGGAAATCATGAGCAGGTGAATGGAGCAGAATTGCTTAAATAGTCTGCATAAATGGTGACTTTGGAGGAACATTGTTCGTTGGCATAAGGTGGAGACTGGGGGAAACTGAGGAAGGGCTGTATGGCAGGGGATTATGGGAGAAGAGATGTGAACAGGGACAGGCCTCGTCCTGGCTCTGAAGTAGGGACATGGCTTTCTGGGGCCTGGTGGGCTTTCCGGCTCCCCTGGGCCTCTCTCCACCCCCGGACGTCGCTGTACTAATGCTGGTTCCCTCCCCATGCCCCCAGGATGGCGGCCACAGGGAAACCGGAGCTGGGCCCCAGTCACAACACTGGTAAGCCAGGCGCCCCGTCCTGCGACCCGGGCAGCCCCCTGCCTCCTTCCTCTTCTCCCCCAGCAACAACCCCCCTGGCCTTCCCCTACTTGGGATCTCCCAAACATTTTCCCCCCAGACCTCTCTGGGGTCCCCAGTCTCAGCCCACAGATTCTGAGGGCATCAGCACTCACCCCAAACCTGTTTTTCTCCTCTGCTCAGTGACTACCACTCCCTGACCCCAGGCACCACACTCACCCAGCCACCAACAGCCACAACCCACAACCCACCTCAGGCTCCACCTCCCAGATCCCCACACCCAGCTCCAGGCCTCCAGCCAGCCTTCACTCCTGGCAGCGTCCTTCTAAAACCCTGACCATGTCACTCTACTCAAAGACCTTCCATGGCTCCCCAGTGCTGTAGGATGAAGTTCGGGCTCCCTGACAGGCCTCTCAAGGACTCCCATAAACCAGCCCCCTCCCCCCCGACTTTCCTGGCTTCATCTCTCACACATTACATTCCCATCCTCAAACAAACAAGCAAAACAAAACAAAAATATCTACATCCAGACCGAACAAACCTATTATAGTTCCTCAAACATGGCAGCTTGCCCTGGTCTGGTGGCTCCGTTGGTGGGAGCGTTGTCCTATACACCCAAAGGCTGCAGGTTCGCTTCCCGGTCAGGACGCATACCTCGGTTTTGGGTTCGATCCCCGGTCAGGATGTGTAAGGGAGGCAATCAATGGATGTTTCTCTCTTCCTCCCTTCCTCTCTTTAAAATCGATGTAGCATGCCGGCTGGCGGGCTCAATCCCCAGTGTGGGGCGTGCAGGAGGCAGCCAATCAGCGATTCTCTCTCATCATTGATGTTTCTCTCTCTCCCTCTCCCTTCCTCTCTGAAATCAATTTAAAAAATTAAAAATAAAATCAATGTAACATATCCTGGGGGGGCAGGAGGAGGATTAAAAAAACAAACAAACATGGCAGGGTCTCTCACTGCCAGGCCTCGGCATGCACCCCTCTGGCCTGGGCACAGCTCTCCCCTCCCTGACAGGCTCAGATGTTCCCTCTTCCAGGAAGCCCTCCAGACACCCCTCCAGGAGCCATCTGGGCTCCCCCCCTCCAGCCCTGCCCACTCGGGGTCGTCCCCTGTCTGGGGGCAGCTCTGTCCCCCCACCGGACTGTGAGCCCGGCTGCCTCCGTCACTGCTGTGTCCCTGGCAGAGCGCTGGGCAAGAAGAGGGGTTTGCACAGCTGACCGCTGAGTGAGTCAGTGGGTGCCGGCAGCAGCCGGAGTGGGCCTCGGGCATCTGTCAGCTGTTCCTCCCCTCGTCCTCTGCTTCAGGCGACAACATCTATGAGGCCATGCGGTCTCCGGGCCTCCTGGCGTCCCCCCTCTGCGACACGGGGCCCCTGAGCGGCGCCGCGGTGAGCCCCACCCCCCCCCTCCGCCCGACCCCGCCCCGCCCTGGCGCCTCCCCTCCCGCACCCTCCGCACCCTCCGGGTCTAAGGGCCAGAGAGGGGGCTGGGAGGAAGCAGCCCGTGGGCTCCGTTTCCCTCTGGCCTCTATTTCCCGCCCGGAGCATGGACGCCCTTTATCCTGGGGGGGGGGGGGGGGGAGATAAGAGCGACATTAAATGAGTGGAGAAACTTCAGAAGCTCAGACTGAAAGCATGGAGCCTCGGTGCTGGCGGGAGGCTGGGCGTATGGGGGTGATGGTCGGGCTGCCCGTGAGGCGGTGCCCTCACACCCACTTCCCAAAGGAGAGCACTGAGGGCAGGGAGGGGCCACCGGGGCGGGGATGACACCACAGGGCAGAGGGGGCAGGGGGAGGGGGCGGTAGGGAGCCTGGCTGACCTGTGTTCTTCCCTTGCAGCCCCCGCTCCTGCCCCTGCAGCCCCCACCCCTGCAGTCCCCACCCCCGCCCCTGCAGCCCCCACCCCTGCAGCCCCCTCCCCTGCAGCCCCCGCCCCTGCAGCCCCCACCCCCGCTCCTGCAGCCCCCACCCCTGCAGTCCCCACCCCCGCCCCTGCAGCCCCCACCCCTGCAGCCCCCACCCCCGCCCCTGCAGCCCCCGCCCCCGCCCCCGCAGGTGCAGGAGGACCACCACTACCAGGTGCGAGGCTGGGAGGCAGGCGGGGCGGCGGGGACCCCATGGGGCCGGGTGCGGAAGGGTCAGGAAGACCGCTGGGCGGGGCTGCCCACCAGCCCCTGCTCTCCTCTCAGGGTCTGCAGCCCCCGGGATGCCCGTCACAGCCTCCGGGGAGCCCCTGGGCAGGCCCTTCCCCTCCTGAGGCTGCAGTTCCCCTCGGTCACAGGGTCCAAGGCTGTGAGTGTCACAGGAGGAAACCAGCCCAGAGAGGGAAGGGCCTCGCCCAGGGTCACACAGCAGGTCAAGGCCCATCCCTGGGCCTGGGTCTCAGCCCCTTCAGGCCCCGCCTGTCTGCCCCTGGGTGTCTCTGTCCCCCTCTCTGTGCCTCTGAGTCTGTCTGCAGACCCCTGTGTGTGTGCCCGTACCCCCTTCTCTCTCTCTCTCTCTCTCTCTCTCTCTCTCTCTCTCTCTCTCTCCCCCCCCCCCCTTTTATCTTTCTCTCCCTAACTCTTTCTCTGTACTCCTCACATCTCTTGTTTCTCTGTGTCTGTCTCTCCAGTTCCTTCACCTCTGTCGCCCTGTCTGCCCTTTTCCTGCCTCTTCCCGTGCCTCCGTCTCTAAGCCTCTCTCCATCTCAGGCTGCCATTCTCTGTTTGGGTGTGTTTTCCGCTGTGTCTCCCAGTCCCTAGCTGGTTCTTCTGACTCCCCCGACTCTCACCCCCACAACACCCCCTCTCTCTCTTTCCCCAGGACCTGCTGAACCCCGACCCTGCCCCTTACTGCCAGCTGGTGCCAACCCCCTGAAGGGGTCCCAGCCAGGCTGGCGGGAGAGGGAAGGCCTCAGACCGCCCCCAGGGACCTGGCAGGACCAGGCCGGCAGGGCTGTGGGGCTGACGGGTGGACTCTCTGAAGACACAGCAAGACCCCAGCAGGTGTCCAGCGGGGACAGGGGACCCGGGCAGGGCCCATCCTGTCGCTCAACCTCTGCGTGTGCCACATGCCCTTCATCTGGTCCTCCCAGCAACCTGACCTAAGCCATGAGCCTGGGAAAAGCAGTCTCTTCCCTCCCCTCTCCTCCTCCACTGGGGTATTTGGGGGTGAGGAAGGCGGTCTGGGCCTGCCTCCAACCAGATCTCACAAGCGCCCACTTGGGGAGACTCACGACTGACTGTCAGCCCACAACACCCCATACCCGCCCCCTCCCTGGTTGCCTCCCCAGCCCCTTCCCCTGGGGACAAGGCAACCCCCCACCATACATGCAGGGAGGGCTGGCCTCACAGATCTGTGGCCCAGAGGACAGTCCTGGTCAGTTACTCTGGCTGCCTCACCCCTGCCCTCTCAGGCAGAGCCCACCCTCTCTAAGCCCATCTAAACCCATCTCTCAGAACCTGTGGCCCTCTTCTGCCTGTTGTCCCCACCTGGATCTCACCAAATCCCTCAGGGCAGGACTCCCTTCTCTACCCCCCCCCACCCCACCCCCACTCCCAATGGGAGCCCAGTCTCTGGCCCTTAATTCACTCATTCATTCATCCAGCAATAAGCAGGCTGTGTGGCCAGTCTCTGGCCCTTAATTCACTCATTCATTCATCCAGCAATAAGCAGGCTGTGTGGCCGTGCACAGTTCTAGATCCTGCAGCTTCGGCAGCGAATGAAGTGGAGGAATGCTCTCCTGGAGGGATACTCTGACGGGAGAGAGTCGGGAAACTAAAAAACTAACGTAGCCCTGACGGGTTTGGCGCAGTGGATAGAGCCTTGGCCTGCAAACTGAAGGGTCCCAGGTTTGATTCCAGTCAAGGGCACATACCCAGGTTGCGGGCTCAATCCCCAGTAGGGTGTGCAGCAGGCAGCCAATCAGTGATTCTCTCTCATCATTGATGTTCCTCTCTCTCTCTCTCTCTCTCTCTCCCTCCCTCTCCCTTCCTCTCTGAAATCAATAAAAATATATTTTTAAGAAAAGAAACTAGAGTAGGTCATTGGGAGTGTGTCCATTGTGGATGTGTAGAGTTGTAATCTGGTATGGTCTGAAGCCGTCCCCTGGGTGCACTGGCTCTGGGGCCTCCCAGGAGGTGCAAAGTCAGCCACGGCCTGGGGCCACCCGGCAGGAGCTACAGAGAGATCTGCAGATGGCTGCTACTTATATTGGGCTTGGAAGTGCCCAGGCAAGGCCCAGTTGTGAAGCAAGACAGGCTGGTGCTAGTTTGGGGTCTTGGGCCTCTTATTGATAGGTTTGGGCACACTGATATCAGCTACTGCTTGTTTGAGAGATTTTAGAAAAGTCTGGAGCCTGAGCGAGGACAGGCCATTCATATGGAAAAGCTGCTCAAACAGCTTGGGTGGGGCTGCAAATTGGATGGGGCGAGGACTCAGGGAGTCACCAGGGTGGAGCAAACAGTGTGGTCCACGCTGATGGAAACTCAGATATCCTCTGCCACAGGGGAGGTCCCAGCACAGAAACAATGACCTCCTGTCAGCACCCCATCTGAGAACAAACCACCCCCAAGTCCCTGCCCTTATGCCAGACAATCCAGTTCCTCTCCGTATGTCTCTGGATCCCTGAAAGCCTCCACCCAGCACTGGAGCTCAGAGGAAGCTGGACCATGTAAGAACTGCTGGGTCTCCAGCAGCCTCCGTGTCACTCAGCCACAGTCCCTGCTGGTTTTTTCAGCCCAAAGTTACAGGGATGTCTTCCCGGCTCTGGAACCCTGAGGTGTGGGGCTGGGACCGCCTGCTTCTCAGAGGAGGCCTCTGCAGCCAAGATATCCGTCCCGATTCAAGACTGTCCTTTCCGAACACTCAGAACAAAGATCGGTGTGTCCACATACACTAAAATGTAAAAACATGTATGAGAATGATAAAACACCAAAATCTGGCTTGTTTCACCTCTGGAGAGCTAGGAGGGAAATGGAGTGGATGTGTACACAGGGGAGTCTGGTATCTGTAATGTGTCCATTAAAATATATCAAATGTGAAGGGGAAAAAAGTTAAATGAGGTTATAGGGTGGGGCCCTAATTCCACAGGACTGGTTTCACACAATGAGGAGGCAGCTGTCTGAAAGCCAAGAGGAGTGGCCTAAGGAGAAACCACACCTGCTGACACCTTGATTGTGCACTTCCAGCCTCTAGAACCGTGAGAAAATAAAATATTTGTGGTTTAAACCACCAGGTCTATGGTGTTTTGTATGGCAGCCATAGTTGACTAATACAGGCTCCTCCTACCACAGCCCCAGGAAATGCGTTACCAAAAGGTGGTGGGGTTTTTTTTCCCTTCATTACTATGAAACCAGAATTAAATATAAAAATAATGATAACAATAGCTCCAGTGGGAAAGCCTGGCCTCTACACGTCTGAATGTTTTGAATTCTCAGATTGGCCTTGGGAGGCTGGGATGATTACAGTCCCATTTTGCAAATGGAGAAACAACCCCCACAATCTCCATGACTAAAACATCAAAGACTTATTTCTTGCTCATGCTACGTGCTCATGGCAGGTAGGTGGGTGTGACCAGGATCAGGAGAGCTCTGGTTCACATCTATTCATTCAGGAGCCAGTGGGCAGAGCCCAACACGGCGCAGGGAAAGGGAGGGACCATGGCAAACCACACACTGGCTTCCAACCTGGAAGTTACACTCCCACTTGCATCTCATTGGCCAAAGCAGGTCACAGGTTCCACTCTCATGTCAAGAGGGCTGGGCAGGTGCAATCCTACCAGGTGCCCAGAATGAGGAGAACTGAAATGCGTATTGCTGGGTGCGAGTTCCTCTGCTAGGGGCTGGACCTCCGAGGACGCCGGGACCTGGAAGAAGACTCGCGTAGCCGAGGTGTATGGGACACGCTTTATTGCACACACAGCAGCCGCTGCAAACACGGCAGCCACACGCAGGCTGGTCAGCGGCGCATTTTACACTAACTCGGACAAAAGAGGCTTCTTGCCAAGGAGTGACATCAGTGTTACACACGATAAAGGTGCGCCTGCGCAGTGCGTGCAAACTGCCGTGTCATTGCCTTTGCACGTGTGTATGGCACACGGGCCTTTAACATCCGGCGTACTCTGGTCAGGGTCCCCACGTGTATGAACAGCTCAATCGACACACCACTGAGATTCACACCGGAGCCCACACTCTCAACCACTATGCTTTCCTGAGAGAAATGTCCAGGCAGGCCTGCCCTCCTCCGTGGATTCATCCAATGGCTCATTCATTCACTTGGCAGGTGCTGGGCCCGGGAGTTGGGGGAAGAAGTACAGAGAGCCAAGAGATATTTAGAATGAAGCGTTGGTAGAATTTGGTCCTGGGTTAGCTTTGGGGGGGGGGGGGGGCGTGCCAACCATTCGTCCATTCATCCATTCCGCATCTATTGAGCACCTGCTCGGTGCAGCTGTTCTAGGTTCGGGGCAGACAGCTGCCGACACCCAGAGATCCCTGTCCTTGGGGAGCTGACAACAAAGTGTCGCATGTGCTGTCCCCGGGGAGCCAGTGTTATGAGGGAAAATGAAGCAGGTGCTGGGAAAGCTGAGGTACGAGAGTCAGGGAACCCCCAGATATCTGGTTTGTTCAACAGGATGACAGGGGACAGTGATGGGGTTCACACTGCCAAAGGGCCAGGCTTGCAAGAAATTAAGACATACATCCACACAAAAAAAGCTTGTACACAAATGTTCACAGCAGCATCCTATATAATAAAAGGCTAATATGCAAATAGACCAAACGGTGGAACAATCGGAACAACCGAACAACCGATTGCTATGACATGTGCTGACCACCAGGGGGCATGTGTGGAACATGACGGGTGTTGGCTGCAGCAGGATGGTGGAGCAGGTGAGCAGGGGTGCCAGACCAAGGCAGGGCACCGGCTGCTGTCATCGGGGCGAGGCTCTGGTGGTTATTGAAAATTCTTTGCTCCCATGCTCTGTGTTCCTGCCAGGCACTCACACCTGCTGCTGGCACTGGCCCTGCTCACACCCGCACCCACTGCTGGTGCCTGGTGCCGGTCCTGATCACTCGGTGCCATCAGCAGGTGCAAACGGGGCCAGCGCCATCAGCGTGTGGGAGCCAAGACCCGCCCCTGTGCCCACCGCAGCCTCAAGGCCCACAGTTCCTTTCAAGGTACACAAATCTGTGCACTGTGCCCCTAGTTACTCACAATAGCCAACAGGTGGCGATAGTCCAAATTTCCATCAGGGATGAAAGGATAAACATAATGGGGTCTATCTGGACCATGAAATATTAGTCATAAAAAAGGAATGAAATGCTACAACAGGGATGAACCTTGAGAACGTTGCATCAGGTGAAGGAGCAGACACAAAAGGCACGTGTTGTAGGATCGCACTCACATGAGATGTCCAGAACAGGCAAATTCGGGAGACCACCTAGGTCTCCCAAATTCAGTGTCTACAGACAGAAAGCAGACAGAAGGTGCCCAAGGGCTGCGAGCGAGGAGAGGGGAGTGGCTGCTAATGGCTACAAGGTTTCTTGTGGAGGTGATGGGAAGGTCGTAAAACTGATTACTCTGCCCTGGCCGGTGTGGCTCAGCCGGCTGGGCAGCCTCCCCTGCACCAAGAGGGGGTTGCAGGCTGGTCCCCAGTAGGGGGCGTGCAGGAGGCAGCTGGTGGATGCTTCTCTCTCCCTCTCCCTTCCTCTCTCTCTAAAATCAATAAAAACACATTTTTAAACATAATAATAAAAATAAACTTGATTGTGGTGACAGTTTCATAGCCCAACGAATATGCCAAAAACATTGACCTGCGTACTTAACGTGAGTGAATTATATGGAAGGTGAATTACATTGTGATAAAACTGTGTTTGTTTTTTACATATGAAACACTTCACGCCTTTGCCTGTCATCCTTGCGCAGGGGCCAGGCTAGTCTTCTCTGTTCCGATTGTAGTATATGTGCTGCCTCCCGGCGCACCCAATAAAACCGGGTTTTTTTTTTTGCAAAAGAAAGAAGAGGGCGGGGATTGGGACGCCAGTTGGAGTTCAGTTCGAGGCGTTGGCGGGAGAAGGCAGCTGGAGACCTAGGCCCGAGGTGCGGGCGGGATTCGGGACAGTGAACGCGGCCATCTTTTACCCCTGGTTGGGGTTGGGGCTTTATTGGGTCCATTGGTTTGTTTTGTTTTGTTTTGTTTTTGCTGCCAGACTTGCAGGCAGCATGGGAGCCAGGAGGGGGCAGCAGAGGACCGTGCAGACCCGCAGACAAGCGTGGCTGCGTGAGGCCCGCTCTCCATCACCTGCCCCCTCCACACACTCCCGTGAATCTGCCCCTTTCTCTACCTTTCTAGGTCTGCAGAGAGTTCACCCAGCTGCACAGACCTGACATAGGCACCTCCCTCCCTCAGTGTCCCTGGGGCAGATACTGGAACCTGCCACCTAGGTCTCCCGAATTCAGTGTCCCGTGGTCTCTACAGCCCAGCCCGGGGCCAGGCTGTTCCTCCCCAGCCTCTCCCCAGCCTCCTACCTGGTCTCCTGCCCCCTGCCATCCTCCCAGCACAAGACAAGACAAGGCATCTTTCTAAAGCCCAAGCTCAGCACTGCCCTTTCCTGCTCAGAATAGAACCATCCATGGCTCCCCAGTGCCCTAAAAAAGTCCAGACTTTTCACCACAACCTCCAACTCCCCACAAGGTCTGGCTCCTAGGGGCCCCTCAGTCTCATCTCTCAGCACCCCCTGCCCCTCACCCCCACCCTGTGGTCTTGATCCCCAGTAGGGGGCGTGCAGGAGGCAGGTTTACTGAACTGAACTTCCTCCAAGCCCTTGCACATTCTGTTCCCACTGCCTGGAGCATGTCCACAGGCACACCACTCCGCTCTACCTGCCCTACCCCCGTTCATCCTCCAGGTCTCAGCTTAGACGCCTCTTCCTCCAGGAAGCCTTCCTTAAACCCCGAGCTGGGTCAGTTTCCCCTGAGTTCATCCACCTCAGCCCTACCCGCTCTGGGTCATTACTGTCTGAAGACAGGTTTGTCTCCCTGCTGGACTGTGAGCCCTGAGAGGGCAGAGACTGTCTCAGTCACCAATGGGTCCCAGCACCACCCAGCATGGGGCAGGCACAGGGTAAGGGCTCAAGAAATGTATGTGGACTAAGTGAATGTGGGTAGATTCTCAAAATCTAGATCCTTCTCTTCGGTACCTAGCAGTCTCCATTCATTCACTGACAAACGTTTATTGAGCAACTACTGTACACCAAGCTCTGTTGAATGAGCTCAACTGGGCACCAGGAACATGAAGAGAAACCAGACCAGCTCCTACTCTCAGAAAATTTGCAGTCTAGTGGGGAAGGCAATCTGGGACCAATGTAATAATAAATAATAAACATTTATTGCTCTAGCCGGTTTGGCTCAGTGGATAGAGCAGTGATGGCGAACCTATGATACGCGTGTCAGAGGTGACACGCAAACTCATTTTTTTTGGTTGATTTTTTTTTGTTAAATGGCATTTAAATATATAAAATGAATATCAAAAATATAAGTCTTTGTTTTACTATGGTTGCAAATATCAAAAAATTTCTATATGTGACACAGCACCAGGGTTAAGTTAGGGTTTTTCAAAATGCTGACACGCCGAGCTCAAAAGGTTCACCATCACTGGGATAGAGGGTCAGCCTGCAGACCAAAGGGCCCCAGGTTCCATTCTGGTCAAGGGCATGCACCTTGATTACAGCACAATCCCTGGCCCAGCCCTGGTTAGGGCTCATGCAGGAGACAATCAATCTATGTGTTTCTCTCACATTGAAGTTTCTCACTGTCTTTCTCTCTCTCTTCCACTCTCCCTAAAAATCAATGGGAAAAAACACCCTTGGGTGAGGATTAACAAATAATAATAATAAACATTTATTGAGCATGTACTGTTTACACCATGCACTGTGCTAAGTGCTGTACATGGAGACCCGGTGCACGAATTCGTGCACATTGAAAGACAATTGATTAGAAGAAATATTTTAGAGGCAGGGGAGGGACCACAGGAGGGCTCCAGAGCGTGTCCAGCCCATCTCACCCAGACCTGATCAGGGCCCATCAGGGCCGGCCGGGGAGGGACCGTGGGAAGGCTCCAGGGTGTGTCTGGCCCATCTTACCCTGTCCCGATCGGCTGGACCCCAGCAGCAAGCTAACCTACCCCTCAGAGCATCTGCCCCCTGGTGGTCAGTGCACATCATAGCGACCGGTTGAGAGAACGGTCTGACATTTAGCATATTAGGCTTTTTTTATATATATATTTTATTGATTTTTTACAGAGAGGAAGGGAGAGGGATAGAGAATTCGAAACATTGATCAGAGAGAAACATCGATCAGCTGCCTCCTGCATACCCACCACTGGGGATATGCCTGCAACCAAGGTACATGCCCCCGACCAGAATCGAACCCGGGACCCTTCAGTCCGCAGGCCGACGCTCTATCCCCTGAGCCAAGCCGGTTAGGGCCATATTAGGCTTTTATATATTTAGATCCTTGTGACAGTTTTGTGAAGGAAGAACTACATTATCCCTATTTTACTGATGAGGAAACTGAGTCAGGGTATAAGTGGACAAACTGGGAATGGAATCGTCTTTCTAACACCCAAGCTTTACCCTCCTCTTTTTCCAGCCTGAAGAGAGAAGAGGTAGCCCACGCCCACAGCCCCCGCTGGGGTCTGTGTGTCCTGCAGGGGGCCCTGCCTTCCACAAGAGGGCGCGGAGGAGCGCGCAAGGCTTAGCCTGGGTGCTAACCGGAGGGCGGGATTTCGGGCCTGGGGCGAAGCGCTCGGCCCAATGAGGAAGAGACCAGGGTCCTAGGCTGGACCTAGGAGCGCAGGAGCCCTCGCTCTGCCCACTCACGCTCTGCCCACCAGAGGTCACTGCCTGCCACCACCACCCCTTCCTCTGAGTCCAGGGCGCCCCTAGATTCTCAGGGCTGTGGCTGCTTATTTCGCAAATGAGGAAGTGGCTGTATGGGGAAGGAAGCGGGCTGGGCCGTGACCAAGAGTGATTATGATTCATGGGGAAAACCCTTCCTCGGAATCCAACCGCTTTGTGAGCAAAGGGCATTGCCCTCTGAAGCAGTGGCTCGGCAGCTGGCGCAGGGGGAGCGGCCGTCGAGGGGGGTGCAGGCTCTCTCCTGTGCCAGGGCGGGGGCGGGGGGGTGGGGAGGGTGAGTCTGGAGGGAGGGGTTCCACAGGGGACTTGGAGGCCAGGAGGCCACTGCTGAAGCAAAGATGTCGAAATAGCTAACCATTTTGACCCCCTCCAACCTGCACTGCGCCCCCCCATCCCCCCTGCACCCATCTTGCCTCAGACCTTCAGCACCCTACTGTCTGTGTCATGGGTTATGCATATATGCATACAAGGTCTTCGGGGGTCAATGGGGGAGAGAGGGGGACATATGTAATATTTTCAACAATAAAGAATGATTAAAAACAAGATAAATCAATGAATGACAAAACAATCATAACACATTAAAATAATAACAATTATTATTAATAATAATAATCATCCTGCCCCAGGAAGCGTTCAGGGTGATAAAAGGGCCCTGGAGCTAGATGCGGGCGATGGCTGCCCGAGATGAATTTTCTGGGGAGGGACTTATGCCCCCGTGAAGCTGATAAAGAGATTATATTGTTCCGGAGACAAAAGTGAATTTGAACACTGGCTGGGCATTTGAAGAGACTAGGGCAATGCCTGTTTTCACTTTTGAGGTGAAATAGTGACACTGGGGATGTGGTTTTCTAATGAGGCCCTCACATTTTAGGGGTGCAGGCTGAAGTACCTACGAATAAAGTTAGAACACGGCTGGAATTTGCTTTCAAATGATATGGGAGGGGAGACCAGATGCTCTCTCTCCAGCCACCTCCCACTGCCCCCTCCCCCATCACTCAGCTCCAGCCACACAGCCTCCCAGCTGCCCGCCCTCACCGGTCACCTTCCTGCCCCAGGGCCTTTGCTGTCCCTTCTGCCAACCCCTTTCCCTGCGACGTTCCCTCCTCAGAAAGCCCCCCCGCCATTCCCCATCCTCTCGCCCGTGTTATGTTTTATAGCACTTATCTCTCCCTGACGTGATCCGCGGTATCAGTTGTTTGATTATTGCCCATCTCCCTCCAATAGGACTTAGCCTCACAGGGAAGCGAAGTGGCCTGTATCCTTGACGCAACCTGGCAGATAGTCAACGCTCAATAAATATTTGTTAAATGATTGAATAGCCTGGAAAACCCCAGGTAAATGAGGTGAGAGGGGAAGGAGGAGGGGGGCAAGGTGGATATCCGAGCGAAGGGAACAGCCCGTGCCAAGGCCTGAGGCGGGCTCCCCCGCCCACTGTCCCCTCTCGCACGGGGGTCTGCGTGCTCTTTCCCAGGTTGAGGAGTTAAGGGGACATAGGTCCCTTCTCCCCAGGAACATGACCAAGCCGGGATCTGGCCAGGTGGCACAGGAAGCCACACCCTGGGGTCAGATCCGTGAGTAAATATTGCAGCAGCCTCAGCCTCGCCCTGGTGAGATACCGGGAGGGGGAGGGGGTTTCAGAAACCTGCCAGCCAACCCCTCAGCTCCAAGGTCTCTGCCCGGGGAGGACAGGCCAAGAGTCCTGCCAGGGGACACAGGCCACCCACCTTATCTACGTAGCAAACACTGACTAAGCCTGGTAGGTGGGGCCTCAGCCTGGGGGCTGAATGAGGTGGTCCCAGTCAGCCTGGACTCCCCAAGGAATGAATGAGGTGGCTGGTGAGAGGAGAGGGCTGGGAGTGGGGGAAGGGAGCTGACAAAACAGGGTCAGAGAACCTTGTCCCCAGCTGGCCATGTGGAAGATGAGACATATCCACTCCAGCTTCTCGAGGCAATGACCCTGAACCTCCAGTTTCCTTGTCTGCAAAACAGGCTCCAGCCTCAGGGCCTCACACTTACCAAAGCACTCCTGCCCCAGGGCCTTTGCACTGGCTGTTCCCTCTGCCAGGAAGGCTCTTCCCCCAGAATCACGTGGGTCCCTTCCTGAGTCTAAGGAACACATAAAATAGAGTTGTGTTCACCAAGCTGCTACAAGTATTAATGTGATGAGGGTCCAGGCATGAGGAAAGACTCCATTCCTGTTCTCACTAGCCCGGGAACTTAAACTTTCTGGAACGTTCCAGTCCTGCCTGAGTGCCTGGCCCTCCAGGTAGCCCTCTAATCGTGCCCTGAAGGACTCACATATCCAGGCCACCTGACACCCATTATCCAGGCCTTGGCACAGCGTGACCAGACCTCCTGGCACCCAGCTCCCCGTCTCCCTGAATCTGACTGATAACCGTCCTGGACCAGCCCAGGGCTAAGAATGCAGGATTGATCATTTTCAAGAATGTACTTTTAGCCCAGCCACTGTGGCTCAGTGGTTGAGCATGGAGCTATGAACCAGGAGGTCACAGTTCGATTCCCAGTCAGGGGACACGCCCAGGTTTCGGCTCGATCCTCAGTGTAGGGCGTGCAGGAGGCAGCCAATCATTCTCTCTCATCATTGATGTTTCTCTCCCTCTCCCTTCCTCTCTGAAATCAATTATTTAAAAAAAAAATAAAGTACTTTTATTTGCTTCTTCAGGACACGTCTGGGTTTTTGCCTGGCTGTGTTTCCAGTTTGCAGACTCCAAGACCTTAGAATAAATCTCTGTCATTTATTTCTAGTAAAGCCTCACTCTTCTTCTTCTTTTTTTAAAATATATTTTTATTGATTTCAGAGAGGAAGGGAGAGGGAGAGAGAGAGAGAAATATCAATGATGAGAGAGAATCATTGATCGGCTGCCTCCTGCACACCCTCTCCTAGGGATGGAGCCCGCAACCTGGGCATGTGCCCTTGACCGGAATCGAACCTGGGACCCTTCAGTCCACAGGCTGACGCTCTATCCACTGAGCCAAACCGGCCAGGGCTCTAGACTCTTTTTGAGTTTTCTCGACGGGTCTCTACGCCAATGTCACCTCCTGTGACACCTTCTCGCTGCCCTCCCTGAACCCGCCGCGGCCACTCCGGCTTCCCCAGCTCCACGGTGCAGGGATTGGGGTCTGCCTTCTTCATGGCTGCGACCCAGGGCCCAGCAGGGAGCCCGGCATAGTGCAGGTCTCAGCACATGTGAGCTGCGTGGTGAATGAAGTGTCCACACACGTGGGCCCTCCGTGTGCCGCTCTCTTCCACCCTCAGAGGACACCCAGGGAAGCCAATACCATGGTCACCCACCACCCACTCTACAGAGAGACAACGGGCCCTGCCCAGCGCTGCCTGCTCTACTGTCAGGCCTGGCACCGGTGCTCAACAAACTGTAGCTACTGGACCGAGCATTTGGGCTCCTGTGGTGCCCAGGAGCACCAGCGGAGGGACCAGGGAGGAGGGCCAGGGAGGAGGGGCTGGAGCAGACAGCAGAGAAGGGTCCGGATGATGCTGTGGGTGGCAGGGAGCATGGCGGAGTCTGGACAGGAGCCGGGTTCCGCCCTAAGCCTCTTGGAGCCAAGTCCTTGTCATGCTCCTCAGCCAATTCACCAGAAACCAGGGCCTCCCTGGAGACTCCGGTCTCTGTGAGTCATCCACACCTGGTGTCCGGTTCCACAAACACTCCCTGTGCCCAACCCTGGGCTGGGCTGGGCTGGGCAGTGCGGGGGACACAGTGGTGACCACAGCACCCCTGGTCCTGCCCTCCCAGGACTCACCGTCCAGTCGGGGAGACCGACCCAGGGGGTCAGGGTTGGGATGGGATCCCAGGGCACATTTGGCCCAGGCTGAGAACCCAGGAGGGCTACCTGGAGGAGGAGGAGTTGTTAGGCAGGTGAGGAAACAGTAGAGGGAAGCAGGGGACATGCTGAGTGGAGGGAGTGCACGTGAGACAGAAGAACTGGGGCAGGAAGTTCCACAAGAAAGGGGTGTCCCAGGAGGCTGGGGAGCCATGGCAGGTTCTACCCACCACGGTGGGTGGGGGGCAAAGACCACAGAAGAGTTGGGAGGGGCAGCCAGACAAGAGATAGGAGGTACCTGGACCAGGGCCCGGGCCACAGGGCAGGAGAGAAAGGAGCTCATGGAAGAGACATTGAGGAGGCAGGCGCCATGAGGCATGGTGTGTTGGGGGGTGGAGAGGTGGGGGGGCGTCAGCGGCTCGGCCTGTCTCTCTGCCCCAATGACAGTGGACGGTGGCGCCGTCCCTGACAAGAGGACGGGGAGGGGCAGCAGATCTGGGGCAGATGCCAAGGTCAGTTTGGGACGAGGTGAGTGAGAGGTGCCCAGGGACACCGGGAGGCATCCTGAATGACACTGGGATGCGGTCCCGGGGCGCAGGGGAGGGGCTGGGCCAGGACAGAGAAGGGTGAGGTGAGGTCACAGCGGGATGGGGAGAGCAGGCGGCGCCAGGTCACCCACACCTCTCACTCCCTCTTCAGAGCCCCGCCTGGCAAGGGCAGCTCAGGACAGGGCTCTGGGGGAACAAACCGGGACAGGTGAGCCACGGTGGGCCCTGCCCCGGAGCCGGCCCCTGGGGCCCCGGGGGACCAGGACCCAGCGGCCACCAAGACATGAACATCGCACGTCTGTCAGGAATGCTCTTCCCCCAGGACACCCTCCCCCCCCCCGCGTCCCTGCCCTCCCACGTGACCTCGGCCCAACATCACCTTCTCAGGGACCCCCTCCCTCGCCCCCAATTTAAACCTGCAACCCCCCCTTCCTGGTTTTATTTTCCTAGACGTCACTTATCTCCATTCCACATGGAACAGATTTTACATTTGATTTGTTTACCCCACGAGGGCAGGGACTACACCTCCCAGCACCTAGGACAGTGCCTGCTCCTTCCATACTGAATACGTGAGAGAGCGATTTATGGAGCATTTACTTGCTCTGTGCCGGGCACTGGTGTAAGCCCTCCACGCGTGCTTACTCATTTAATGCTCTCAGCAGCCCTAGGAGAGGGGTGCTGTCATCATCCCCATTTTACAGATGAGGCAACTGAGGCCCCGTGGGCTCCATAACGTGCCCAGAGTCCTGGAGGTAGAGGACAGTAGCCTTAGGTCCAGGCCCCCATTTTTAGTAGCAGCCACACCAACCGACCTCGCCTGTGGGGCCCCCTCTGCCAGGCGCCGGCTTAATTCCTAATGTGCGGCCTCTCGCTGACGGCTCTCCCCAGCCCTGAGCGGGGAGGGCTACACCCCCGTTTCTCGGTCCTGAGCGGGAGGCCAAGAAGCACAGCCCCAAAGGCGCTGTACAGCCACCCGGCCTTGGGCCCTTCTGTGCGGCTTTGAAACAGAGCAGAGTTCACATCCCTTCCTGCCGGAACGAAGGCCAGTCCGAGCCCCTGCCCGGTGCCTCAGTTTCCCCAGATGCAAAGGAACGGAGGCTCTGACAGCGCCCGCCTCGCAGGACACCCCCGAGGTGACAGCTGAGGGCCACCCGCAGCAGCCAGGCCGGGAAGCCGCAGCCTCAGTTGCTTGGTTTTGCTCCTCACTTGACCCCAAAGCGCAACAGAGAGGCCAGGCCTGGGCCGTGGGTAGGAACTGGCCTGAAACCTTCCCCCGCCACCCGCCTCCTCCCCGGCGACCTGGTTCTTCTCCCGGTACCAAACCCAGGCCCTCGGCACAAAGAAGGTTAGGCAGTGCCCCAGGAGGCCTGGCCAGGTCGTGGCCCCTGGCCCGTGCCCGCCACGCCTGCTCCGGGACCCAAACAGGGCCTCCGATCCTTGGTGACTCGATCCCTCCAAATTCAGGTGATCTCCCCGGCTCCAAATCGCCGAGCCCTCCCAGGTCCGGCGCCAGACGGAGCCAAGCCCCAACCAGGAAGGGCCTCGGGGAGCCTCGGGACGCCAGCGCCGCAGCCTCCAGGAGCCAGATCGGGGGCGAAAGATGGCGCTAGCTGGGTGCAGCTGGCTCCTCCTCAGCGGTGAGCGAGAGCGGTGCCCCTGGTGCCCCGGACCCTCAGCCCCGATGGCCTCGGGGAGGGAGAGGGACGGTGTGAGCAGAAGCCCAGCAGGCTGGGTAGGGAGGCAGCTGGGCTCCACACAGGCGCAGGCTCTTCCCAGAGGCACGGGGTGGGCCCCGGAGGTTCCCACGGCCGCCCGTGCCTGAGCCTGGGCGAGGCGGCCCCTGCTACTCCTTGACTCCCGTGGCAAGCCCTGACTGAGGCGTGGAAGCTGGACAGGGTGCGTTCTCACCAGCAGCCGGCCCCTCCCCGAGGACCTGGCTGTGGGCAGGTGCCTACCCCTTCTCGGCCTCAGTTTCCTCATCTATGAAATGGGCCTCACGCACAGCGTGGTCTGCAGGTCATTTGAGCAGCATGACAGGGCGTGCTCCGCACCTGGAGCTGCTCCGAGGCCCACTCCTCACCCCCCTTCATAGACCAGAAACCTGGGGCGCAAGAAGGGAGGTCGCTGCCCGGGCCCCACAGCCAGGAAGCGGTGGAGACCCGCTCCCTGCCTCGCAGCCGGGCTCTACCCGCCTGGAAAGTCCCGGAAAGCAGACCAGGCGCGTGCGTGCCTCTTGCGTGAGAGCCACCGTGGCTACCCATCCCCGGGAAACACACACACCGCAAAGCCAGCAGCCCTGACCAGCTGGTCGGGCTGGGAGGTTAGCTGTTGGGTTGAGAAGAAAAGAGGTGGAGTGTCTTCGTCGTGGGGAGGCGAGGGCAGAGCACTGGCCTGGGAGTCAGGGCCGAGGGCCGGAGGAGCCAGCCCCGGCCTGTAAGCCTCCGTCTGGTGACTCTGTCTCAGTCCCATGAAATGCAAGGTCCCCGGAGCTGCCGGTGGGCTATGAGCTTGGCACAGCCCATCACATTCAGTTCTCAGAGCACCCCCCTCCCCGGGACTGACTGCGCCTGGCTAATATGTACTGAGCACTTATGGCATCCCAGGAGCCCAGGTGCCAGGAGCCCAGGCCTCCTTCTCCCTCCGATGAGGGGACCGGCCACGCCAGCCTCATCCCACTTCTCTGGCTCCTTCCCCAGCCGCGTTCCTGAGCACCGGGGCGGAGATCTCCATCACCCCGGAGCCCGACCAGCCGGCCGAAGGGGACAACGTCACGCTGGCTGTCCGCGGGCTGTCGGGGGAGCTGCTCGCCTACAGCTGGTATGCGGGGCCCACGCTCAGCCTGGCTTACCTGGTGTCCAGCTACATCGTAAGCACGGGCGACGAGACCCCCGGCCCGGCCCACACGGGGCGGGAAGCTGTGCGCCCCGACGGCAGCCTGGACATTCAGGGCGCCCTGCCTGGGCACTCGGGCACCTACATCCTTCAGACTCTCAACAGGCAGCTTCAGACGGAGGTGGGCTACGGACACTTGCGAGTCTATGGTGAGATAACCCCCAGCCCTCCTCTTCCCCAGCCAGGCCTTGCCACCTCCTTTCCAATCCCTCTTCTAAAAAAAAAAAAAAGAAGAAGAAGAAGAAGAAGAAAAAACCTCTAAAAAATGTTAAAGCCATAAAAAGACTTAAAACCACATGAAAAGGCCTGCCTCCTTCAGGATGGCCTCCAGGATTACACCTGCCTCTTACCCCATTCTTTGCCACTGTGGCTGGGGTTACAGGGGCACCACCAGGAACAGCCATGCCCCCTGCCTGGGAATGGGGAGGCCCCGGGAGCAGGCGGTGCCCGGGGCCCTCCCCCTCTGTCTCTTGCCCCACAGAGATCCTGGCCCAGCCCGAGGTCATCGCCAACAGCACGGAGCTGGTGGAGCGCCGAGACACCCTGCGCCTGCTGTGCAGCAGCCCCAGCCCCGCCGAGGTCCGGTGGTTCTTCAACGGCGAGGCTCTGCCCATCGCCCTCCGCCTAGGCCTGTCCCCCGACGGCCGGGTGCTGACCCGGCATGGCATCCGCCGGGAGGAGGCGGGGGCCTACCAGTGTGAGGTCTCGAACCCGGTCAGTGTGAGCCGCAGCGAGCCCATCAACCTGAACGTGTACTGTGAGTCCTCCCGGCCCCGCCCGAGACACCCAACCTCCTAGCTGGGGAAACTGAGGCCAAGGCAGGGCGCCCGAGGGCAGACAGCGTGTCCATAGGTGTCCTGGGGTTAGGAACCAGGGACCCCTCTGAAAAGGTGTCTGGCCCACCTCCTGAGGATTAAGCACACTGTTGGGATGGAATAACCCTCCAGTGTGAAGCAATTCCCTCAGGGAAGGGACGGCAGTGGTTTTTGAAAAGGAGACGGGAAGTAAGTGGCGGACTGGGAAGGGAGATGAAATAAAAACACTAGCAAGGCCGGGAGTCGTTGGAGCCCGAGGAAAACTAACCACTGAGGCACTCGAGGGCCGGGGACGTAGGAAATCGTAGAACCCAGAACGCTCCGACCAAGGACTCTGGCCTTAAGAAGCACTGAATTCTAGACTCTGAGGATGCTGGTAACTCTAGAAGCAGAGATTCTTAGACTCTTAGCATCTAATTCTGCAACCTTAGAGCCACCGGGCCCTAGAATCTTAGAAAACCTAGATTTCCAGGCTCTGACCGACCGTCCTAGCATCTGAGCCATCACCCGTGGACTTAGCGAGCCGGACTTCTAGAATGGCTTGTCGGGAGCCAGCCGCGTAGACTTGTTTGTTTTTTTAATGGAGCCGTCGATTTCAAGCCTGCCTTGAAATGCAGTCTGGCTCAACACCCTCTTTTCCCAGAAGAGACACTGAGATCCCTCCCCTGAGAGGGAAAGTGACTCAAGATCCGTCCTAGAGCGAGTTAGAGACCCGTGTGGCATTCGGAAAGGCCGAGCTCTTTTTCCCTCCACGAGGCCCAGCTATTCCCAGGGGCCCAGGCCGGTGGAAAGAAAGCCAGGGGTGCCCACCTCCCCTCCCCGCCCCTCCCCGCCCCCCTCCACTGCCCCGTGTCTCTCGCTCCTGCCCCCACAGTTGGCCCGGAACGCGTGGCTATCCTCCAGGATTCCACCACCCTCACGGGCTGCACCATCAAAGTTGACTTCAACGCGTCCCTCACCCTGTGGTGCGTGTCCCGGTCCTGCCCGGAGCCCGAGTACGTGTGGGCCTTCAACGGGCGGGCCCTCAAGAACGGCCAAGACCACCTCAACATCAGCAGCATGACGGCGGCCCAGGAGGGCACGTACACGTGTATTGCTAAGAACCCCAAGACCCTGCTCTCCGGATCGGCCTCGGTGGTGGTCAAGCTCACTGGTGGGTCGCCCGGCCGGACCCCTGCCCCTCTCCCCCACCCCCCGCCCCCCCGGGAGGCCCAGTGGACGTAAAGGTTTGGCTGCCCCACCAGGGAGCGGTTAGGCCACCATCTACCCAACTAAGGATGGGAAAGGGAGAGAGTCTCAATCCAGCTGGTGGCCAAGCAACCCTCCAGGTGGACCCCTCTTCGTCCAGGAGGCAAAAGGAGACAGTGCGTCCTGTCGCCTGGAAAACAGACGACAAACCTGGCTCTCCCCCCTGAGGGGCGGCACCGGGAGAAGCGGGCGGCAGGCCCCACACTGCACAGCGCAGAGGGGCGAGGCGGTCCTGCATGCCGGTGCCCCGTTCTAAATCAGTCGCAGCTGCCAAGGGGCTTCACCCACGCCCTGGGAGAGGCCGCTGAATTTCTGGGCGGCCAGGTGGATTACCCCGTTATCTGGCCTGACGACGGTGTGGGCACCCACTGGGGGGCTCTCTCTCTCTCTCTCTCTCTCTCTCTCTCTCTCTCTCTCTCTCTTTCTCTCTCTGGAAATCACAGCCAGCTGCTGGAAAATGGAAAAACACAGCTGAACAGCATTCTTGTCCTTGTCCTTAAATGACCTGGGGCTGGGGCTGCAGGCACAGCTGGTGTTTTCAGAGCCAAAGGGAGCCTCTGGGGACACTTCCTCATCCCATGGGGGGGGGGGGGGGTTGGCTTTGAACATTAGGGTCTGATTAATTCCCTCTTGGTTCCTTCGCAAGTGGCCCCCATCCCCCGGGGACAGTGGGAGCAGTCGCACCCCCCCCTCCTCCCCTCCCTCCTCCTAACAGGCTGGGTCTCATCCAAAGGGTGGATCCTCTTTCACCCAAAGCAGAAATGACATCCCCAGAGGTAAGTGTGCCTCCTGCCCCACCCCACTGGCCCGGCAGCTGTTCCTGGCAGGAGGCAGGGGGGGCGGGGGAGGGGGGGGCCAGATGACCTCAGGTGCTGCCCCAGGCCCTGCCTGAGGGGGGTGCCCCAGGTGTGCAGGTATGTGCAGGGAGTGGGCCTTCTGAACTGTCAGCAACCCCGGCAGGTGCCAGGAGAGAGACAGAGGAAAAGGAGACATCACCCTTCCCCTCCCGGGGGAGCCGCTGATCTGATGGAGGAGGCATGATCTCTGCCCTGAAAGAAATGGTCCTGGGACAGGGAGGCACGGCCTCCGTATTCAAGAGGCTGCTAGTCAGAGAGGAGAGGCCATGGGGGAGACCAGACACCCACCCTCAATGAGCTTCCAATCAGATGGAGGAGGCCCAGTCCACGCTTGGAGAGAGTTTCTATTCTGATGGCGGAGACATGGCCTTGAGGAGACACGGCCCTTTTATTTATTTCTTTATCTATCTATCTATCTATTTATTTATTTATTTATTTATTTATTAGAATTCCTAGTCTGATGGGGGAGACACAGTTCCCACCTTGGGGCTACTCCCAATCTGATGGGGGAGTACAGGCCTCCCACTTTCTAGGAATTTCTAGTCTGATGCACCCATCCAGTCTCTGGGGTCCCAGCCTGATTGGAAAGACCAAACCCAGTGATCGCGCACTCCCACCCCAATGGAGGAGACACGGCCTCTGCCCCTCAGGAACGCTCAGCCTGATGGGAAACCACAGCCCGCACATGTCCAGGCCTCTCCGCCTGGCAGGAAGGACCCCCTGGGGCACACAGCTCCCACCTATCTGATGGGGAAGACGTGGTCCCCACGTTCTAGAATTTCCGATCTAATGGGGGAGACACGGCCCCCCATTTTCTAGAATTTCCGATCAGATAGGGGAGGCGTGGCCCCTATGTTTTGGGAGTCTGCAGTCTGATGGAGGAGACATGACCCTAGCCTCTAGGGCAGTGGTTCTCAACCTGTGGGTCACGACCCCTTGGGCGGTCGAACAACCCTTTCACAGGGGTCGCCTAAGACCATCCTGCATATCAGATATTTATATGACAATTCATAACAGTAGCAACATGACAGTGATGAAGTAGCAACAAAAATAATTTTATGGTTGGGTCACAACATGAGGAACTGTATTTAAAGGGCCAGAAGGGTGAGAACCACTGCTCTAGGGTCTTGCACTTTCGTGAGAGAAAGATCCCCCAGAGGCTGAACAATTTTCATCTAATGGGGGAGAGGTGGCCACCTCCCACTGGGGCCGCCGGTCTGACCGAGGAAGACAGAATCCCTGGCAGGCTTATCGGGACGAGAGACCCTCCACACCAGTCACCAACTTCCTCTGTCTCCTTCCCAGAGCCCTGCACGGGGGAGCACAGCCGGCTGGGGGCGGGCACAGCTGAGCCCGCTGGGGGCAGCAGGGGACACGATGCCCCCCAGCTGAGCCCGCGTCCCCTCTCTCTCCCCAGCGGCTGTCGTGGCCATGTCGATCGTGCCCGTGCCGACCAAGCCGACGGAGGGCCAGGACGTGACGCTGACCGTCCAGGGCTACCCCAAGGACCTGCTGGTCTACGCCTGGTACCGCGGGCCTGCCTCCGAGCCCAACCGGCTGCTCAGCCAGCTGCCGTCCGGGAACTGGATCGCAGGCCCCGCGCACACCGGCCGGGAGGTGGGCTTCGCCAACTGCTCGCTGCTGGTGCAGAAGGTGAACCTCACCGACGCCGGACGCTACACACTCAAGACCGTCACGCTGCAGGGCAAGACGGAGACGCTGGAGCTGGAGCTGCAGGTGGCCCGTGAGTGTGTGGGAGGGCGGGGCGGGGGGGGGGGCGCTCCGCCTGCAGACAGGGGCTCCCAAAAGGGGACTTCCCACCAGACTGCCAGAAGGAACCTTGCCTCCTCCATCTGACTGGGTGGTCCCCAAATGAGCTCTTCTGCCTCTTCCGTCAAACTGATGGCCTAGAGCAGGGGTCCATAGGCCTCCTCTATCAGACTGGGGGCTACTGGAGGGGTCCATAGGCCTCCTCTGTCAGGCTGGGGGCTACTGGAGGGGCCTTTCATGCCTTCTCTCTCAGACAATAATTTTATGGTTATTAAAATTATAGACAAGAGGTACACCAGATTGAAAGGAGAACAGGGCATCCTTTTCCCCACAGATGAGTGGACCCTAAAACACAGAAGGCAATGCTTCTACCATCGCATCGGGGAAGTTGGCTAATGGTGGGAGTTTACCTCCCCTGTCAGACTAGAGGTCTAGAGTCAGGGTGGATCCTGCCTCCCTCTTCAGACTGTCACCCTAGACAATGGGGATCACGTCTCACCTTTTGTGTTACAGTGGGAATGTGGACAGAATTTCTCCCAGCAGAGGGTGGAAATTCTCTCTCAAACTGAAATAGGAATGACCTACTCCATTATGATGGAGGTGTCTAGGTGGTAGGCATTGTGTCTCCTCTGTCAGCCTGGGAATTTCCAGATGTTGGGGACCACCACTCCCAGACTGGGTGTTGAGTGTTTCCTTCCACGACTCGCGTGGAGTAGGGTTCGGTATCTGAAAGAGGAGCCGCACAACAAATGAGAGAAAAAGACACGAGATAATTTTGCAATATTGGGGGACCAGGCGGCAAGTCCCGAAGGACTTCTCCCTGTGCTCAGGCCTCACCAAGCTTTTATTGATCTGGGATGCCCCCATAGCATAGCCCTTAGGCAGGTGACCCCCTAGTAACAGGCAGACTAGCCCATCAGCAAGGATTTACATAATAATAAATGGGGGAGCAGTTTATCTGGACAAACAGAGGTGGCGCCTAGCTCCGGGCTTTGCTAGGGCTTCAAAGGCACCCAGCCTTCGGGGGGTTTCGGGGAGTGCTCTGTCTATGCTTATCAGATAGTGAAGGCAATAAACAGTTTCCCACACTGGGAGTGCCCAGAAGTTGGGAACAATGTCTCCTCCATCAGACTGGGAGCTCCCAGGTGTTGGGGACCGTGTCTCCCCATCAGACTGGGAGCTCCCACAAATCAGGAACAATGTCTCCTCCATCAGACTGGGGACTCCCAGAGTCCGGGACCGTGTCTCCTCCATCAGACTGGGGCTCCAGAGTCAGGACGTGGCTCCCCATGAGACTGGAAGCTCCCAGAGTCAGGGACCGTGTCTCCTCCATCAGACTGGGAGCTCCCAGAGTCAGGGATCCTGTCTCCTCCATCAGACTGAGGACTCCCAGAGTCCGGGACCATGTCTCCTCCATCAGACTGGGAGCTCCCAGAGTCAGGGATCATGTCTCCTCCATCAGACTGAGGACTCCCAGAGTCCGGGACCATGTCTCCTCCATCAGACTGGGAGCTCCCAGAGTCAGGGACCGTGTCTCCTCCATCAGACTGGGAGCTCCCAGAGTCAGGGACAGTGTCTCCTCCATCAGACTGGGAGCTCCCAGAGTCCGGGACCATGTCTCCTCCATCAGACTGGGAGCTCCCAGAGTCAGGGACCGTGTCTCCTCCATCAGACTGGGAGCTCCCAGAGTCAGGGACCGTGTCTCCTCCATCAGACTGGGAGCTCCCAGAGTCAGGGACCATGTCTCCTCCATCAGACTGGGGGCTCCCAGAGTCAGGGACCGTGTCTCCCCCATCAGACTGGGCGCTCCCAGAGTCAGGGACCATGCCTCCTCCATCAGACTGGGAACTCCCAGAGTCAGGGACCGTGTCTCCCCCATCAGACTGGGGGCTCCCAGAGCCAGGGACCATGCCTCCTCCATCAGACTGGGAGCTCCCAGAGTCAGGGACCGTGTCTCCCCACGGACTGAGCACCTCCAGGGGCCTGAGAGGCCATGTTCCAGAAACAGGGCCGTGTTTTACCCATTAGACCAGGAGCTCGCAGACACTGGGGACTAGGTCATTCCCCAGGCTGGAGTCTTGCCTCCCCCATCAGACCGGACACTCTCAGAAGCCATGTCCCTGAGTCAGGGACAGAGTCGCCCTCCCTCGGGCTTGAAGCTTCTAGGATCAGGGACCCAATCACCAGCAGGCACCCTGGACCCCCTCTTTCATCCACTCACTCATCAAGCCCTGGTTTTCTGGGCCAGTGTTGGGGGAAGAATGTTGTCCAGGGACAGCAGGCCACCCCCCAATGAGGCCCAGGGATGCCCTTTCACCTGTCTCTCTTCTCACAGTCAACCTTCCTCCCTTGCACGAAGACCAGCGCTACCTTCCTGAACCTGAACCTGGCACAGGCTGAGCGTGGGGCGGGCGGGGCCGCCGGGAGGCTGGGGGTGGGCAGGGGAGCGGGAGGGGTGGGGGCACCGGGGTCCTGGTCCCCTGCCTCCCTGATGGCCTCCTCTGCCCCTTTGCCCCATCCTCCCCCACAGCCCTGGAGTAGCAGCGCCGCCCTGGAGACCTCCAGAGAGAAGACCTCTGCCACCCTCCCCACCGCCCCCGTGAGCGGAAGATCACCGCGGTTTCGGCCCTCTGTTCTCCTGCTTCCACTGTAGAGTTAGAGCCAACAGGGCCCTACTCCTCCACTGAGCTGTCGGAGAGCCGCCGAGGCCATAAACCTGCTGGTTAACACCCTGTGTCCGCCTCTCCTTCCACCATCGCCAACCCTGCCGCTTCCTGGTGGCCCGCAGGCTGCCTTTCCCACCGAGATCCTTCTCGGTCTGTGTGCGTGCGTGCACAGGGGTGCCCGGGTCACGGGGCTGCGAGCCCTGCTGCTCACTGGCAGGCCTCGGGCCCTTCCCGCATCTGCCCAGGTGACAGCTGAGGGTCCTGCCTCCCAGGGGGCCGGAGACTGCCCCTCCCGTGGACACCCACAGAGCTGGGCTCTGCGGACACGGCCTCCCCCATGCTGCGCTCGCTGCACCACCCAGGCCCTGACGCCGAGCTGCTTGTGCACAGGACAGTTATGAGTTACAACATCGGGGCCCTAATCTCACATTTGCCGTGGATTCACTGGGCCCTCAGTATGCCCAGGGTGTGGGCTCAGGGTAAACTAGAGTTTTCCAAACCATTTTATTAGCCGCAGAGCTTTCTCTCAATGCAAGTTTAAATGGTAGGTCAGTATGTTATTTAAAATAGCAATGCAGCCAGTGTTTCTCAGTGGTGAGAGTATCAGCCCGTCCATCAAAGGGTCATGTGTTCAATTCCTGCTCAACAGCATGAACCTGGGTTGCAGGTTTGATCCCCAGCCCTGGCTGGGGCACGTGCGGGAGGAAACCGATCGATGTGTCTCTCTCACATTGATGTTTCTCTCTCTCTCTCTCCCTCTCTCCCTCCCTCCCTTCCACTCTAAAAAAAAAAAATACATAAATAAATAAAATAGCAATGCAATGAAAGTAGGTATCAGTTCAAAAGCTATAGCCTTCTCTCCCCCAAAATTTCTACACATTTGAAAACAATTCCTTAAATGTGAATAATATTTAGATTATAGAGGTCATTAAAGTAGCAACCAGAGCCCTAGCCAGTTTGGCTCAGTGGATAGAGCACAGGCCTGTGGACTAAAGGGTCCCAGGTTCAATTCTGATCCAGGGCACATGCCTGGTTGCAGTCTCGATCCCCAGTAGGGGGCGTGCAGGAGGCAGCCAATCAATGATTCTCTCATCATTTTCTCATCATTGATGCTTCTATCTCCCTCCCTCTCCCTTCCTATCTGAAATCAATAATTCAACCAGAATCAAACGGCAGTGAAAACACTCCATATAGAAATCTGTGGGCTGTGGCCAAAGCCACACTGGGAGGGGGGATGCTTAAATGCATTGAACGTAATAAAAGAAAAGAACTTCCAAGTGAAGCAAATAAACTTTCCACTCAGGAAACTAGAAAAAGTCCACAAAATAAATCCAAGAAAACAAGGTAAGAAATTCAGAACGATCAAAGCAAAAATGGGCTAAATATAAAAACAAAATTGGAGTTGGTCAATCAATCCTAAAGTGATTCTTTGAAAATGCCAATAAAATAGACAAACTCTTTGTGATGAGAGGCAGAGGAGACTCATATAGAAAAGAAAGGAGACGCTGCTCTGGTTGAAGTAGAGGGTCTGTCTGTCCGGGGTTAGATTCTCAATAAATATGTATCGGGGGGCAGGGGACCTGGCAGGTTTGTGAACTGCTCCCCAGCCGCTATTCCCCTCTCCTCTTCCATGATCGCAAGCACCGACTACCGTGAAAGAAGATGGAAAATGTCAGGTACTCACTTTCCCAGACTGTTTTGCAGCTTCAGGAGGCCATGTGACCCAGTCTGGCCAATGAAGAGAGAGCCAGAAGGCCTGTCCACTAAGAAGTCCAGGGGGCGCTAAGACTTTGGAAGCTATTACCTAATTCAGTGGCCTCCAGTATGAGGTTTTCCAGGCAGTGACACCCCTAGAAACTGAGGATGGACTTGAGCCCATACTCTTAATCCCACCACTAGTCAGCCCCGCAGTGGGAAACAGCGTCCACATCTCCCCGCCCCTCCAAATTCACCTAAGAGCCGGTGACAGCCCTCGCCGGTTTGGCTCAGCGGAAAGCACGTTGGCCCGTGGACTAAAGGGTCCTGGGTTCGGTTTTGGTCGAGGGCATGTACTTCGGTTGCAGGCTCCTCCCTGGCCCGGGCCCTGGTCAGGGCGCGTGCAGGAGGCAACCAATTGATGTGTTTCTCTCTGTCTTTCCCTCTCTCTTCCACTCTCCCTAAAAATCAATGGAAAAATATCCGCGGGTGAGGATTAACAACAACAACAAAAAGTCAGTGGCAGCTGTAGGGCTCGAGCCTCGGTATATCGGTGAGAATTTCTTTTTAGTGGCCAGTAGGAGAGACTGGAAACAACACACAACAGAAGCAACAAGAGAAGACTAACATATGATAAAAGAGGAACTGGCATAGGGAAGAGCAGCTTGCATGGATGGAAGGTTGCCTCTCTCACACATAAAAAAGAACTCATCAACAAATTGTTCAGAGCTGGAACGGTGGTTCCGTGGTGTCACCAGGGACACAGCTCTTTCTCTTTCTGCTCCATTGTTCTTGGCTTGGGGCTTCCATTCTCTTCATCACCTCGTGGTCCAAGACGCCTGCTGGAGCTGCAGCCGCCTCATCCGTGTTCTAGAAAGAAGGGGACAAAAAGCAACAAGAGGCCCCCCACCAATGTATGGACCGTGCCCTTTTTCAGAAACCTTTCCCAAAGGCCCATCCTACAACTTCCACTTACACCTGATTGGCCAGCTCTTTGTCACGTGACGACCCTAGCTGCAAGGGAGGCTGAGAAGTAGAGTCTTTTCCCTGGGTACACTGCTGCCCCAGGGAACATCAGGGTCCTGCCACCAAGGAAGACAGGAAGAACGGCTCCCAGGTGGGAGCTGGCAGGCTCTGCCATGCCAGACCTTAGACCTCCTACCTTCCACGCTGGACAAAATGACCTTTCTCACCTAAGCCTGATGGTAGCCACAGCCATGGTAGCAGGGACCTGGGAGAGACTGGGGTTGTATTTATTTTTTTATTATTTTTTATGTATTTTATCTAGAACATTTTAATTTTTATTTTATTGTTTAAAGTATTACAAATAGTATAGTACATATGCCTCCTTTTTTTCCCCATTGACCTTCCCCCGGCCTCCCCTACCCCCCAGCACATGCCCTCAACCACCCCCAACTCCACCCCCCACCTCCAGTGTCTTGCGTCCACTGGTTATGCTTATATGCATGCATACACGTCCTTCGGTTGATCTCTTACCTCCCCCGCTGCACCCCCCCATACTGGGGCTGTATTTAGTTGGGTCTTGCTTTGTGCATTTCAGAATGAGGCCAGTAGGAGGGGTGCTGGGAGCGACAGAGGAGGCAGCTCAGGTTTCTGGGTCAAGCAGATCCCGTATCCTTAGGGTGTAGTGGCTCAGATGTCCCCAAAACCAAGTCTCCCATCTCTCGAGATATCTCTGGGCTCCTCGACTGAATCCTTCAGGCCGTCCAGTTCCCTCCTTTCACAGAACAGCAACAATCACCACAAAATAATAATAGCTCCTGTACCTCGGGCACTGATTTTGTCAGACACTATCTCAATGAATTCCTACAACAACCCTTATGAGTAGCTACTGCCAGCTCCTCCATTTTACAGGGAGGAGACTGAGGCACAGGTCCCACCGTTCCCACGGCTGCTGTGGGGAGGCCCTGGTGGGTGAGTCCCCTTCCTTCCTCAGCAGAGCAGGTGCTCAAGGACACAGGCTTGGGGCCCAGACGGAGCTGCGCTGGCCACGCATCATCGCTGTGGGCAGGTTGCTTTTGCTCACCTGTACAAATCCTATATAATAAAACCCTTATATGCAAATCGACCAAATGGCAGAATGACCCGTCACTATGACACGCACTGACCACCAGGGGGCAGACGCTCAATGCAGGAGCTGCCCCCTAGTGGTTAGTGCACTCCCACAGGGGGAGCATCGCTCAGCCAGGAGCTGGGCTCACCGCTGGCAAGCACAGTGGCAGTAGCGGGAGCCTCTCCCGCCTCCTCGGCAGCGCTAAGGACCCCTCAGGGGCTGTCTGACTGCTGGCTTAGGCCTGCTCCTTGCCGGTAGTCAGACATCCCTCGAGGGGTCCCAGACTGCGAGAGGGCGCAGGCCAGGCTGAGGGACCACCCCCCCACCACCAGTGCACAAATGTTGTGCACCAGGCCTCTAGTAAGATAATAATAGTGGCCATTGCCTGTCCAGTGTGGCTCAGTGATTGAGCATTGACCTACTAACCAGGAGGTCAATTCCTGGGCAGTGCACATGCCCTGATTTTGGGCTCAATCCCCAGTAAGGGGTGTGCAAGAGGCAGCCAATCGATGATTCTCTCTTATTATTTATGTTTCTCTTGCTCCCTCTCTCTCTGAAATCAAAAAAAAAAAATACATTTTTAAAAATAATAATAATAGTGGCCATCGTCATGGCCAGTGTGGCTCAGTTGATGGAGTATGGTCCCATGCATCAAAAGGGTACCATTTGGTTCCTGGTCAGGGTACATGCCCAGGGTGCAGGCTCAGTCTCTGGTAGGGGGTGTGCAGGAGGCAGAATCGATGTTCCCCTCTCACATCAATGTTTCTCTCTTTCTCTCCCTCTCTAAAAAATCAATAAAAATATATTTTTTAAAATAGTGCCCGCCTCCTAGGATTGTTGAAAAGATTAAGTGAGTCGAGCAAAGAATCTGGCACACACGTGCTTGGTAAAGGTCTTTGACCCCTGTGACGTTTTGTTAGCTTTTGGCAGGCAGATAGAAAAGCCAAAAACAGCCGAGACCGGTTTGGCTCAGTGGATAGAGCGTCGGCCTGCGGACTGAGAGGTCCCCGGTTCGATTCCGGTCGAGGGCATGTACCTGGGTTGCGGGCACATCCTCAGTAGGAGATGTGCAGGAGGCGGCTGATCGATGTTTCTCTCTCATCGATGTTTCTAACTCTCTGTCTCTCTCCCTTCCTCTCTGTAAAAAATCAATAAAAAATATATTTTAAAAAAAAAAAAGCCAAAAACAATCATTTTTCTGCAATGCCTTCTTCCCGGGGGACTGAATTAACCCTGCCACACAGGTTTGCCTCCTTTTATGAAATACACGATGTTCTTGAAAATTAAATTGCAG